TGCAAAAGTATACACTTTGCGGACTGTAATTGTTTTATTTTTTGGGCATTGACTCGCTCTCGATCTCGCTCTCTCAAAGGCTTGGCCATTGGCAAAAGTAAAGAGACCACTTGACATCCTTATTGAAAGCCTCAAAAGATGACATTTTTGTTCGGTAGCTTTCAATACTTCTGTACATTAACACGCTCTGTAAAATGAATACAATTTTCATTGTCGAAAGAGCGTGTAAATCGTATCGAGGGGGTTAAGCCGAGGACAATCTAAATTCGCTATATATCGGATTTAATCAGAGAGGACTCTGGTGAAAAAAATCACTTGGCGTGTGTGTAAAGCGAGGCAGCGAGTACATAGTATACACACGTATGCATGGAGAGCGAGAAATTCAAAAGATCTGCAAGGCTATGTAGACGGCAAATAGAGACCACCTGGACTGGCTTGTATACATTATACGCGCGTGTGTGTTGGTGCGTGTGTGTGTATGCAGTTTCAGTTTGCCTGGTACATCTATACATGTGTGTGGAGGCGGTTTGAAAATATATATACACACACCGAACATTGGTGCAGGCGCGGCCGAACAAAGGAAGCAACAGACGAAGACCGAGAAGAAGACGGAGACGAGGGAGAAGAAGGAGAAGTATATAGCGAGGCAGAAGAAGACGAAGAAGAAGTAAAGAGAAGGGTCCCAGCTGGTCCACTTCTTTGGCTCAGCATTGTCTGCAAAGCCTCCTCTTACTCGATCATTTCTCCGTCTCTCTCTCTCTCATTCGCCTCCTTCGCGAGCTGCAGAACACGGGGCTACACGAAGGTTTTAATACTAATCTGGATCGATTCTTCTCTCTCTCTCTCTCATTCTGCGGCCTCTCGTATCTTCCTTTAACTCTCCGCATTACTCGGAGTGGAGAGAATTGCGAGCTCTCTCTCAGGGACTCGACTCTCTTATATACGAACTGCAGCATGCAGAGCTCCAGAAGATTGAGAACGACTCCGGAGTACGTATTATCGCGTACGTATAGTTTTCAATTTTTGCGCGAGGGAGCTCTCGAGCCGATTCTTTTTCTTTCTTTTTTACGGCGTGTTTAACGATATATTCCCGCGGGTAATTTCCTTTGGCACTCTCCACTTCTCTCGCTCCGGCTCCTCTTTCTTTTTTTCGCAGCGAGATAATTACTCGGCACACGCGGGCCATGTTTCGGCCGGTACCGTTACCGATTATTGTTGCAATGTGTATATAAATACAGTATCGATTTGCCCGGACTTTGTAAGATACGCGCGCGAGTATATAACACTCCCCGGGGGTCGATTAATTTCGGAGCACCGGCACCGGCAATCGCGCACTGCGCCAAAAATTGATCATTTTTCACGCCGGCAATCATGCGGCAGCAGCAACGAGCCAAGTATAGAGGCGTCGGTGGCAGCTCGGCTCAGCTCAGCAGCAGCAGCAACGTATCCTGGAAGTTAAATACACTATATATGAGAAAATTTAGACTGGTCTTAGCTAATGCAATAATCTAAGCCATCAATCTTAATCTTTCGCGTCGCGGGGCACTAAAGCTTATACTTTGTGAATTCGGTAGATTTTTAAAAGCACATAAATATATTTAGCTTTTGGGCAAGGAACATAATACGTGCGACGCAGCAGCAGCGGCAGCCGACCCACTTGGAAAAACGTGTCCGTATATTATACATTATATTGCGCACCGTCTGTGTGTGTGTGTGTGTGTAAAGTACCTCTTTCACTGCTTCACGTGTACATGCACGCACGCACACACAAAAGGTCTCGAATATCCTCGAAAGCGTAAAATTTTAAAAAGATGGACCGTCAAACTATACCCGAGGTCTGTGCTGCTGCTGCTGCTGCTGCTCTCCAGCCGCCTCTGTATAGCTCCATTCAAACGTTACATACAGTATAATAATAAATATACGCTAGTGTACATTGTGTCATTTTCTTTAACTTCGCCATTGGCCTGGTACATATAGCCATACAGTATAGAGAGGCTCTAAATGTATAATATGTAGTGCGTGCAGGCGCTCCAAGCATGACTATACAGGTACTCTATGCGCGTCGTAATGTGTAATATTTTGGAAGCGCCCTGAAAAGCATCCGGGATGCAGGGCAGTATAGTAGGGCCACTTTTATACTACACACACATACATATAATATATTTTTTCGACTCTCTTTCGTTCTCTCGTTCGAGCCTTTTATATATATGTAGGATGATCGCATGCGTTGCCAACTGTGTTGTAGCATTGAGCAACGAGCCGTGCTTTTTTTCGATGCGCTCTCGGCGGCCGGCATACCTGTGTGTGCTGCTGCAGAAGGACGATTCAGAGCTACCTATTTCGCTCCGGGGGCCATACACGAAGCTAAGGCCCTTTCGTGTTTGTACGGCACGCATTCGTATACGAGCTAAACTGCGCGCATATAAAAGTCCGCGAGGTGGGGTTAATTGACAGAGTTTTTAGAAAATTACGACGCGGTGGCGGCTGCCGATTCTCTTATATAAAAGTATAGCCGCGCGCGGCCGGCGATTCTCTCTTTCTCTGTCGAAGCTCAGCTTCTCGTTTGTATTCTTTCTTTTTTTGCTTTTCTTTTCTTTTGCTTTTTATCAATTAACCAAAGTAAATATCGTATACAAGCACACGATGACTGTGCCGGTGCGCGCAATTCGTGCAGAGCTGACCTCACAACGTTTTCGATCTCTTCTCTCTCTCTTTCTTTGCTTAGCTCACGAAAATTGTTCGTTGTATTAGGTCTGTTTGAGTTGATGCCGCCATCGAGGTGCTGTGCGGTGATTATACTCATGGTGCTGGTGGTGTCTAACTATTTGCTGACTCGTTTGCCTCGCGTCCATATCCATTCATCCATTCCATATATAAATATTAGGTATAAGGCACGCCATGACTACATGTTGTATCGCTGTGTTTATTCGAGTGAATGAACTTTATTTTACGATTGAAAATCAATTGATTACATTTAAAAGCTCGTGATGTGTAACAGCAGCGGCAGAAGCAACAATGAGCGATAAGGCAGGTCGTTATATTATTCCAGGAGCGATGAAACTTTCTCTGTCTGTCTGCTGACTGTGAAGCGCAACAGCAGCTGAAAAAGCCTTTTTTATAAGCTTTATTATCGCAAAAGTCGACAAAAATCGCGGATGCCGCTTGGCAAAGAACGTCGGAGTCAGAGTCGGTGGAGTCGTCGTTGTCCCGCGTGACCGGACTCGCCGATGAGTAATCGATTCCTATTGTTATTCGAGCTCGTTCGCGGCAGCGCGAGCGTTGCACATTTGTAGCATTATATTCCACGAAAAATCCGCAAGCGCAGTTCCACTCACACACACACATAAGCTAACACGCAGCGTATAAGCTACTTTAACATTTTGCATTATTATAAGGTATGCATCTCACGCGGCCGTGCAAGTCGGAATATATTTTCTGCTTTTCGAGGTATACAGTGGCGCGCGTACATTATAGCCGCCGGTAAATCGCCGATTCTTTCCTCGCATGATTCATTGGCTCTCTGGCCTGGGATACACGCGCATTATAAGCATAAAGGACACAAAAATCGGGAGAGATTTTTATACGTGTAGGTACGAAGCAAGTCGGCCGTAAAACTAGTCGGATTAACGACTCCCTTTTATACGCACGCTGCGCTCGTCCTTGTCATCGACAAAACTCTTCTCTCTCTCTCTCTCTACGCCGTCGTCGTGGAGCTTCGTTCGCCGCCGCGCGGCAACATCAGCTTATATACCTACATATTCTTTTTATTTTCCCTTTTATATATGTGCGTATGTGCCGTCGTGCGTCTGTATCTGCGTCTGTCTGCGCGTGTATCCCAAGGACATTATACGTATACGCACACGCATTTCCCTAATTGACATTGCTGCTGCTGCTGCTCTCTCGAGAGAGGCTAGCTTATGTGGCCGCAGCTCGGACGACTACTTTACATGCATTTCCGATTACCTTCGATCTATCGGCGTGCACACGCGGATTCCTTCAGATCTTTTTATCGCGGACGACTCGCGCGCGGCTCGGACAAAAATGTTATTGACGATCGCATCGTGCGCTTGCAGCAGCAGCGGGCTTGCGAACTTGGACGAAAAATTAGCGACTTCTGCAAGACCGCTAACAACGCAAAATTTAGCCCGTTCACATGGCTTCGCTCGGCCTACGTGCGTTATTTATATGAAAAAAAAAGAACGAGGTAAGGCGTACAGGTAGGCTAACTCATGGCTCGCCGGTATGCACGCACCGGAGTCCGACCGATAACGCAGCCGCGCCGAGCTAAATAGCATGGCCATACACTAACACACACACACAGACTCACGTGCCCAGCGGAACGTAGTGATAAGGCGCGCGCGCGCTCCGTAAAATATTTACCTCTCGCGGCGCGTTAATTTCTCTCCGTCTGTCTGTTACATTTTTTCTTGTCTTTCTTTTCGTTTGTTTGACTAGAGCGATCGGCATTACACATGATTTATCAGCCTAATAAAAGCTCGATTATTCGACATAGAGAGAAAACATATGTTCCGGCCTAGCAGTAGTACAGGAGCTGCCGATCATATACGGCCCCGCGATAATCGGCGAGGAACGAAACGGACGGAGAGAAAAAAGAATTGATTTTCACATCCATCGGATTTTCTCCCGCTGCGCGTCTTGCTCGGCCAATATATACCTATGTAATAATGTAGAGGTGGTTTGTATGTATGTATGTGTGTAGCCATTCTGAAAAGGAGTTGCCTGGCTATGCGATCGCGTTTCTACCACACACAAACACACTTATACAGACTCGTACATGTACTCCACGCATTATTGCGAGTACGCTTACGTAGGTATAGCAGCTCTCTCGGGGCAGCAGCAGCAGCAGCAGAGTGTAGTACTGTAGCTCCTACTCCCCGGAGTCGGCGGCAGCGTTCCCCTTCTCTGTCTTTCGCGCTCCAGAGTCTATAGTCTCTTTCCATTCTCTTTCTCGAATCGGCGCTCGCTCCGAACTCGGCGGCGATCTACAGTCAGTCTTGCCTCGACATCCGCGACGAGGGCCTCGCGTTAACGCCCGTCTACGTTATTATACAAAAATATAATCTCGCGCGCGCGTGTGGATTATAAACGTCTATTGCGCAGAGTGACGATAATTTCGCGTGTGTTTGTATAGTGGCGTCTCTCGCAACGGTGCACAGGTGCCGCTGCAATTAGTGCGAGTGCGATTGTGTGCGTGTGTGTGTCGTGCATGTGTCACTACTATATTGTGTACGTGTATCATTATTATCAAAGCATCGTCAAATATATAGTGTGACGCGAGCGAGTCTGAAAAATCGCCAGTCAGAGTTTCGTGCGTGTGTCGCCGCACTCGCATATTAATATTGCCTCGAGTTGAGAAGGTGAGCAAACGAAAGCCAACCGACAAAAAAATTCCTTGCGCCGTGTATATGTGTGTATACAGATCCTCGATGAAAGACCGCAGTGAAAGAATTTCTTTTTATCGATTTTTATATTGCTCGCGCATACAATAATATGTTAATGACCGTCTCTCTGCCGGTATCATTAAAGAACGTTTAATTTCGATTTACCACAGCCGCTGATGTTTTCACTTATATAGTTACGACTGCTGCCGATTTTCGAGGAACGGGTCCTTCGAATTTTACGGCGATGGACATGCGTCCGAGCAAGAGAGTAGCGTAATACATACAAACCTTTATAAGTTGATGATTGACGACGACGACTACTACTACTACTAAGCGTGAAGTTCGGTGAAGAGTGTACATATCCTAGTGTCGAAAAACGAGAGCTCGTTTAGAGAGGATCTCGCTCTCTTTCTCTCCTTCATCGCGCGATGCTTTTTTCTCTCCACTCCAAAAGACGATTCATCCTCGTCATCATCCTTGCTTAACGCATCACGCATAATATACGTAAAATATCGCATCATCCTGCGACTCTCGAGAGCACGAGCATAGCAGAGGCCCACTCGGCTCCTCCTTGACTTTATTTATACTTTATATTATTATTATTATTATTCCTCTATACGGCCTATGCAAATTTTGTGAGCGAGCGAGCGGCACACGGATCGCTCACGCTTTATATAATCGATTCCCTCGATCGTTCTTTTTTACCTATGTAACGCAGCAATAGCAGCAGCAGCAACCCGATGTAATGTACGCGTTCGCGCAGAGACACACTCGACTCGACGATATATCGCAATTATCGAAACGTTTGCCAACCCATTATTCGATCCTCTTATATGTGAATATATTTTGTATATATATACGATATAATATAGCTGAGGCAGCAGCTGCATGTGTGCAGTTTCAGAGTAAGGCACAGGCGCTGCGCTGCTGCACATCGGCACAAACGATCGCGCCCAATCGTAAAACACTCGGCTGCGTCGTGATTTACCTCTCCTCTCTTTCTCTCTCTCTTTTTCTCTCTCGGCTCGACTGACGATCGGCTTTGGCTCTCTCTCTCTCCACACAGTATATTACACCAATAATTACGGGTTACTCCCTTTCCTTCCTATTATATATATTAATTTCTTTCTTTCCTTTTTCGCGCTCACCTTGCCCCGGACGTTTATACGTGTTATAGTACGTGGGTTTATAGCTATACACTCGGCCGCTCATGCCGATAACGAGCTTTTTCACGCGCGCGCGCGCCACAAGTCGAGTTTCTTTCTTTCTTGTACGATACCGATTTTCAGGGGAATTCGTACGCGCGGGGCTCGAGAGAGAGAGAGAGAGACCAAACGCTGTACGTATATCGATTTTTCCGTACCGATCGCTATATGTATCGAACAAATGTTGTTTCTCTCCTACATTTATACGTATAATCTGCTCGATCGATGCGATAAGCGATACATATAATACAGCAATACCAAGAGAGAAAGAAAGAAGCAAAGTTATCGTATCAGGGCTTATATATATCGCGGCCACACATTTATATCTCGTACGTCGAACAATAAATACACTTATATATATCGCGATGCGCCTTTTTTTCGTCGTTGTCGTTCCTATAATCCCCCGACACGTTAAAACCTGCTCATTAATCTTTCCGCCCTTGTATAGGATAGTAGGTACACCCGGTTCGCTCGAAAATTCTACGTATAAAAATGCGCGCCCATCGATTAGCAGCTCCCCTCATTGTGTATTTCCTCGATGTGATGTATTATAATGTTACAATAAAGGGACGCACGAACGCACGCGCGAAATCGAACGTGGCTGGCACTGGGCCCGACTCCCCGATTAACCTCATTAAGTCCTTTGGATGCACTTCCTGTGCCCGGCTCGGCTCAGCTCGCTCGCGCGCAACTGTTGTCCGACGGAGCTCTGGTTACTCGCGGCTGCTCTCTTCTCTCTTTCCCTTTGCTATTTTTCGAATGCTACATATCTGCTTTCAATCGCGCCAATCGATCGCACAAAATCAACGAGGGAATCTCGCTTCCTGTCTTGTTGTTGTTGTTGTCGTCGTCGTCGTCGTCGTCGTCGTTTATTTTTTTTCTGTCGCGTCGTGGGCGTCACGTACATTATAGTAATTCGATATCGCTTTCCCATTCTTGATCGATGGCTCAATATACAGAGAGCCTTTGATTTGCCCATCGCTCATCGAAGCCTCGGGTGAACTGTTAAAAGAGAGTAAAGAATATTGTTCGACGCGTATAAAGCCCTGTTTTGTGTATACGCATTTTGGCGAACGTGCGTCGCTAATTGAGCAAAAACAAAGGCCTCACTTATTAACGAGCTTATAACGAGAAAGGCTCGACAAAAGCGGCCTTTTTATTTTAAAAGAATCGATAATTGCGATTAATGCGCTCAATTTTATGCTTGTAAAGCAATAACAATTATAATATGTAATTAATAAAAATCGATGTACCGTTAAAGCCATACAGACGCGTCTAATAAAAAATATTCTAAAAGCATACATGTCAAAAATTTATAAATACATCAAAAAGGCAGAGACCAGCAGTAGCTCGGCGTTTGTAATAACGGGCTTCGGTAGTAGGCACGCACGGACGATATTGCTCACGCATTCCTGTGCCTCGAGTACTTTACGCACACATATCGACGTATATATATAATGCATATAATAGTAATTTTAAGTGGATCGCGTGTGCAAGCCGATCGACTTACGTCACACACACACACACACACACACGACGATGCGGATCGTCGGTTAAATTACGCGTGAAAATTAAACCCTCTTTTCTCGTTTCTGGTTGCAGTGAGAGACAATTAAACCAGCCGCACGATGAAGGCAGCTCTGCTGCTGTGCTTTATGCTGGCGGCCGTGTCGGCGTCGATTGTGCCGACGTCATCGCCGTCGAGCACGCAAGATACACCCACGTCCACGAGCAAACCGTCCACCACGGCCAGGAGCCGACCCAATGATTTGGCCGCGTCGCACGTCTACTACAAGGCCAAGACGCTGACCGGCAGCACCGACTCTGAGCTCTCGGCCATGCTCAGCGTCGACTCCAAGGAGCTGCTCGTCGACAGGCTGCCCTCCGGCGACGAGGAGACCAATAACGAAAAGGTCAGCGTACTTGCTTACTTATACTTACCTCTTGTAAACTGTGCATGTAAAATCTCGTGTCTATATACGGCTGAGTTTGATTAAGCTGTTATATTCGCGAGAGATGTGAAAGTTCGCGACGAGACACGAGAGAGAGAAAGAAAGAGCTCGTTAAATCAAGTGTGCGCTGTAAGCTATACAAGCAGTAAGCACGACGTTGTAGTGTAGTAGATTCTAATTAAAAAATTACAATTGCGCGCGTGTCTTGTATCTCGCGCTGAAAATCTTTACACGCGAACCGTACTAGTACGTACGAGTCCGTTTTAATAGATAAGCATCCGAACAAATTTCCAACGCTTTGCTCGCTAAGTTTGCGTGACGAATCATCTGATATTTTTTTTCGTCAACGTTATAAATATTTTACAGTTGGTCCAAGAGGAGCTCGCCAAGGCCATCAAGGCTCAAGCCTCGAAGAAGACTCTCCGACCGATTTCACCCAGTAAAGTCAGTCCGAAGCCTTCGGTCAGCAAGGGTCTCTACGACACCGGCGACATGGTCTTCAACGACGAGATCGACGCCGGTGACGACGACGACGACGAAGACGTTTACGAGGACGACGACGACGACGACGACGAGGACGACGACGACGAGGATGACGACGACGACGAAGACGACGACGATGACGACATCATCGACGACGAGGAAGTCATGACCGGTTGTCCGGATTATTGTCGCTGCGCCGGACAGTACCCTGCGGCTACGACTGCCAGGTAATTAATTATAGTTCAGAGCTATACACGACGTTGTTTTTTTTTTCTTATCGATCAAATATTGACACGAATAATTCAAATAGCTGCTGCCGCGATAATAAACTCCCGGTATTTGGAACGTCTTATCGTACTCTTGTTTTTTTTTTTTTTTTACGAGTCTGTATACGCGTATTGACTAACGCTCCGTGTGGCGCCAATAAACTCTAGAACAAAACACCCACACATATTGACTTTACGTAATTTTTTTCAATTTTTCTATGTCGCCATATCAACAGATGCCGCAAGCTTCAAGACGACCAGAGCTTCGGCTCCGGAATCGCCCATCTGAAGATCGAGAACGCCGGCAACATTCGTCTCGGGCCCTACGCCCTTCGCCGTCTGGGTCTGCGCCAGCTCGAGTCGATCAGCATCGTCGACACGAAGATCGTCGAGCTCGATCGCACGGCCTTCGACGGTCTGGGCGAATTATTCGTCGTCAATCTGACCAACAACGGCCTGACCTACGTCCACCCTGACACCTTCCAGAACAACTCCCAGCTCAGTCTGCTCACCATCGCCGGCAATCCGCTGTTCAGTGAGCGTCATCGCAACAAGGGCGCCGTCGTCAACAGCAAAGACTATCTGCTGGATGCTCCGAGCGTCACCGAGCTCGACTTCTCCGAAAATCAGTTGACTCGTCTGCCCAAACGCGCCTTCGCCAAGATGACCAATCTGGCCTACATCAATCTCAAGAACAATCGTCTCGAGAACTTGGACAAGGATCTGTTCGCGCCTCTGGACGAGCTCGTCGAACTCGACCTGTCGCACAACTCGCTCTCGCAGCTGCCGGCCTCCCTCTTCAAGGACAAAAATCTCCTGACCCTGCGCATATCCGGCAACGCTTTGAGAAGCCTCAAGTCGATCAAGGCTGCAAAACTCGTCACCCTGGACGCTTCGGCCAATCGCCTCGACTCCATCGCCAAGGAGGATCTCGCCGGTGTGCCGTCGCTCGAGCAGCTCTACCTCCGCGCCAACAATCTCAAGAGCATCCATCAGCACGCCTTCTCGGATCTCGATCAGCTCACCTATCTCGACCTGACCAATAATAATCTGGATGTGCTCGACGAGCATCACTTCCGCGCCAACTCGAGACTTCAGGTACTTTTGCTCAGCGACAATCCCGAGCTCAAGAGTCTGCCCATCTTCCGTACCAATTCCCAGGAATTCGAGAGATACAGGTACATTTTCTCCTATATTATTTTTAGCTTTGCTTTGGTTATGGTGACCACAGTTAGATAAGCGCTTTACGAATCTTGTCGAGGAATATTTCTACTATCCTCGAAAGATCCGTGGAGAGAATCCGTAGATTTTCTCCAAGCTTACTAATGTGATGAAGCTGTCGGATAGCTTGGCTAGTGTTATAACGACAGCTTGTCGACTTTGATTGTGGGAATTAAAGCGACGCCAAGCGGCCGATCGGCGTACCAAAAATAATAATAATAATAATAATCAAAATTCGATTTTTCCTCGTGACAGCATCTACCGCTTCGAGTGCGAGAACTGCGGCCTCACCTACATCGAGCCGGGCACTTTCGACGCCATGGCCGCCATGACCCGTCTGAATCTCGCCCACAACAAGCTCACCGGCCTGCCCATCGGCCTTCTCCGCTCGCTCTCGGCCCTGCGCGAGCTCGACCTCTCGACGAATCGCCTCGAGAAGCTCGAGGACGCCACCTTCGAAGGCGCCACCTCGCTCACCAAGCTCTCCATCGCCACCAACCCATTCCACACTGGACTGCGAGTCACTCCCTTCCTGAGGACGCCCAACCTGATGAAGCTCGACGCCAGCTTCTGCCAGATGAATCGCATCTGGAGCGAGACCCGCATGCCCATTAAGAGCCTCAAGTTCCTCTCGGTGCACGGCAATCGTCTGACCCGCGTTACCGTCGAGGAGCTGCGCGTCATGCCGAATCTCTCCGGCCTCGATCTGTCGAGGAATCCGCTGAGATGCGACGAGGATTTGAGCGCCGCCGTTCAGTGGCTCAGCGACAACAACGTCACCCCCAGCGAGTCAACTCGCTCGCTCGGCTCGAAGCGCGACAGCGACGACTACGACAGTCAGCCCGCCGAGCAATTCAACCAGTGGAGCGATCTGGCCAAGAAGCGCTGCGACTCCTGGGAGGGTGGCCCGCCCCCCTCGAGGAGCAAGCCCATCAAGGGGTCCAAGGCCAAGAAGGTCCAACAACCGCAGCAGCAGTCGTCCACCAAGGCTCCTCAGGACAGTCTTGAGTTTACCATTGGTGGTGGACCTGCCTTCAAGTTCGACCTTGGTCGCGTCGACCCGAGCCGCGAGGTAACTATAATCAAAAGTTTTCACCTTTAATTTTTAATATATGTGACAAAGGTTTTCATTCGTTATTTCTCCTCCCAACAGTACACGTGGGATGTGGGCAGCAACAGCATGAACGACGAGATCGACTCCTCCTGGGACAGCCAGGACAAGGACGAGTACGACCAGATCAGCTCTGTCAGCGAGGACAACGACTGGTATCGCGACATGATCTGGCAGGTGGCCGTCCTGTTCGGCGCCCTGACCGTCGCCCTCCTCGTCGTCCAGCTGGCTCTCTGCCTGTGGAAGCGTCGCGGCGGCAGCAGTCGCGGTCCGGTGCTGCGCTCGTCCATGATACTGAGACCCGGCATGATGGACACGAAGAACTGCGGCCTCGTGTACAAGCCACTCGAGGAGAAAATCGCCAGCACGCCGACCCACCATCACGCCGCCCCCAAGAGGCACAACTTCTACTCCAGCAGCACGTTCCATTACGATAAAATCGTCCCCGAGAGCGTGTAAATCCTATAGGGATCGTTGATTTTTCTTTCAATCAAGGGTGTTGAAATTGCCTAGGATTTTCAGTCAATTTTTAGAGAGAAGAGAGATATCGCGTATAGATTTAACAACTTGTGTGAACTGCGATAAAAATAATGTCAAGCGGAGAAAACAGAGATGTTTCGAAGAGGAAAAAAAAAGATAGTCTTGATATAATAAGTAAGCTCGTTCCGACAATAAAATTTATACTATATACTTGTAGCCATATGTACAGCTTGTGCATTTAAGTCTGCACACCCTCAAAAATACACAAAATATTTTTGTATGGAAACGTGTGCTGGAAAAAAAAGAAAGGGGAATTGTCCAAGTGCAACTGCAAAAATTATTTTTTCGAAGAAATTTTTTTGGCGATCCAATTGGAGAGCAGCAAAAAAAAGAGAAAAAAAAAATGTTTTTATTATTATTGTTTTACGTTAGTGTAAGTCAAAATGTTTTACTGTACTTAAAGCGAAAAAAGCAGGAAAAAAACAAGAAAAAAAGATTTATACTTTAAAGCCAACGAACACAAAAACTGGAAGATATTTAGTCTGAAAGTCTTCTGTTATTATAACACCTTTCGAAAAAGAAATTCAGGTTAAAGATTTTCCATAAGTAAGTGTTTCATACTTGCGAGAAATTCCATTTTGCTTTAATATGTGTTTAAATAATGTTCAAGTGGACCGATACACTTATGCCGATACGAAATCGTCAACAAGCGGATAAAATTTTTTAAATTGTTGATTGAATGTATTGTCGTTGATCAAATTGTCAATTTATTCAATATTTTGAGTAATGTTTATTGACATTCACTCACGAAAATTAATGTTTTATTGATTTAAATGTCCATTGATTGTAAACTCCAAATTCGTAGAAAAATGTCAGACATTTTCTTAATTTTTTTTATTATTTCTTCTTTTTTAAAGTAAAACTTGTATCATATTATTTAAGTAATCGTGGAAATATAGTCCTTGGCGGGATGACAATCATGAATGAAATTTTTCAACATCAATCATCCACTGTGCCAAAGTATAAAAAAAAAGATAATCACGAGTCCGAAGCACAAAAAATCAACGAGACGCATAATTGGTTTGATGAAAGGAAAAATGAAAATTTATATAAAATCATGTTAATTTATTGTAATGTATAAAGCGCCAGAAAAGAAAAAAAATCGAATCTAATGCAGCTAAGCGAGTTAGCAGCCGAATAAAAAATTTATATTCAATTGTGAGGCTAATTGTTTCTTTAAAAAGTAGACGCAATTAGACGCACAAGTAAAATACTTAACTATAATACAAGCGTTCGAAAAGACGCTCCCCGCTCTGTAAATAATATACCCATTTTAAAGTTTTAATAAAATATTAATTTATCTATTACTATTATTAAACAACACAACTTGCTTTTTTTGTTTCTTTCTGCCTGTGCCAATATAATGATATAAACGACTTTAATACACTTATTTATACCGCAGTATTTGCTTTAATTTTTAACTTTTTTTTCTTTAAATCATTTGTTAGCATACTCTTACTTTCGATAATTAAGTTATTGCGATTTTAGGCATTACAATTAATCTACTTTTATGAAAAATTTATTATTGTATATAACAGTGAGATGTATGGATTAAAAATAAATGTTTTTAAAAATTCGATCGATATTGCTTTCGTTTAATCTAATCCCTGATATTTCATTTAGATTAATTGTTTTAATTATAATGTTATGGCAGCTAGAAATTTCATAAAAACGTGTCACTATGATTATCAGTTTTGAAAATCGAACGTAATTGTTATCTATTTATTGATTTTTCTCCAGCGAAGAATTTTCGTAACGATTCGATTGATATTTATGATCAATTTTTAATTACGTACGTGTCAGTACTGTACAATTACTTCCGACTCTTTTGACAAATACGACTTTCTGTCTATCTTTTGATCTTTCTAGCAAATTAGCGTGGCGTACTTGTTTTCGCCAACTGTGGACTCTTTATTTGAAGACTAAAGTTCCGGCTATAGAATAATCAATTAGTTTCGACAATAAAAGTCATTCACGAAGAAAAAAAAAGTTTCGTGGCTATACTTGGAAATTTATAGTTTCAGAAAAGAAAAGAAAGTTAAATAATCAATTTCAACAATGACGCTTTAATATTCTTAAAAAAATCATTAAAATATTACCACAAAGCCTTGACATATGGGGCAAGAACTGCACTGTAAGTTCAGTTACATTAAATACGCGGCTCAGTTTGTAAGTAAATGCCAAAGTGATAGTAGTACAAAATGCAGAGCATATCGTCGCTTCTGTTCACGAAACGCATCAAGGTGCGAGAGAAAAATATGAAATCTATGGGTTGTTGGGTGCCTTCCGGAACTTTTGTCTTCGAGTATCTTCGTGTTAATGAAAAACTCTACAGATATAATTTTTTATGGCCGGATCAGAGCACAACGTTGAAGTTTTTCGGTCGGTCATTGTTTTTGCTGAGCCTACTCACTTATCAGATACCACAGGTAAACAGTGACTCGAGTAAATATTTACTAAACATTAATGGCATTTTTCCCCAGTTTATGCATTCAGCTATTAATTATCAGCAACAGAAAATAACCATTCATTCGGCGATAGAAAATTTATTAGGCACCTTTTTAACCTTTAACTTATTTATAAGATATGTTTTACACATGCAGCATCAAGAGACGGTATAAAAATAAGTTTTTCTATTTTCTTCCGATCCAAACATTTGATCTAACTCGCAGCTATCTTTTTTCTAGTTCAAATATATTCACGTTGTTCTCACCAAACATTTGAGCGACTGCGACAATTACCAAGAAAAACTTGTAATGGAAAGAATATTCTCGTCGAAGACCAGGCACCTACAGAAAATCATGAGTAAAAAATTGGATTATTTTGGAAGGAAACAAAATTTTTTTTCTGTAACAAAATTACACGCACACCTTTTACAGTTTTCTTCTGGACACTTCTCTCGATGTTTATCTTAGTGTCAGCGCCTATTCCTGCTTTGATAAACGCCATCACCAGTGAGTTTTCAAAGTGCACTTTTGCGTGAATTAATCAATTAAATTCAGTCATAATATAAATTCAAAGTATAGTGTAACGTACAGAATACAATATATATTGTATGAAATTACAGTTGCAGTCAGCAGTTTTCATATATAATTCGGAAGCCAAATTGCGAAAATTCAATTCGAAATACTAAGTAAAAACAATGTTTTTCTAGGAAACCAAAGGCCACATTTATTTATATTGCCGCGTGCCCATCGCTGAGCTTATACGCGACGACGCTTTAGATGATACTTTTATTTCAATGAAAACCATATTGTTGAAAATTAATCATTCTTGCCCCCCTTATAAGGGGACATTCCGATTGCAAATTGTAAAAAAATCACTTTTTAAATATTTTTTTTGAAAACTATAATTTTTATTCAGCCTGGACCTTTTAGGTGTTATTCCTTATCTATTAAACTACAAAAAAATTTTTTATTGGACTTAAGACCCATTTTGTTGGCTGTAGACGGAGTTTGCTGAAATACGTGTTTCGGCTGTTGCCAGCGATTGAGAAAAAACTACTAGTCCGATCTTTACTTTTAATTTCTCGTTTTAATTATTACAACTTTCTCTAGAAGACAAACCTCTAAAGAATTGATATTTTCAATTTTTACGATTTTGGCACGAGTTTTTCTAAAAAAATGCTATTTTCGGGGGTTATGGGGGCGAATTCACCCCCCTGAAAAAATTGCGGCTGATTTTTTCCACTTTTTAGAGGTTGGTCTTGCAGAGAAAGTTGTAACGATTAAAACGAGCTTTTAAACGTAAAGATCGGACTAGTAGTTTTTTCTCGGTGGCTGGCAAGAGCTGAAAAAAAGTAGTTTTGAGAAAAACGCGTCGGAAGTTTTGTTCTGTACATATCGAGCACACTAGACGCTTCGTGTAATCGGGCATAACTTTTTTTCCTTTATGAATTTCGTTCTAAAATTTTAACAGGATATTTTTATGATGTCAAAGAACGTTTTAACGTAACAAAAAATGTATCAATTTTTTTTCATTTTCAATGGGAATGTCCCCTTAAATCGAGTTCGGAAAGCTATGTTTTGAAAATCGAATGTTTACTTCGTCATTAAGGGTCAGCTGCATGATCGTATTAATTTGAAATCACAAAGTGAATTATAAATGAATGATTCTCTCATAGAGAAAGAGACTCTGACGAAACAGCTGTGCTTCCCCGCCGAGTACTTCGTCGACTTTGACTCATACTTCTGGCTGCTGTATATCCACCAACTGATCTGCATATTCTTCCAATGTCTGACGGCCAATGCCTTCGACATAACTTACGCGAATAACGCGCACTACATAGCAGCCATGTTCGGCGTGATCAGGTAATTCATTGGCCCATAAACTCTGCGATACACAGTTATATGATAAAATTTCGTGAAAAAAATCTATCGACTTTCTCCTTTTTTTCTCGGTCTCGCGCATATTTGTGCGGGCTAAATAGCTATCGATTGAATCGATTGAATAGATTCACGAGGAATCCTCAGCTGACGAGTCGACAGAGAGACGAGTACATCGGCCGAGAGCTACTGGAAATCATTGACAAACATAATCGAGTGATCGAGTTAAGCGATATGAATAATATGACCAAAAAATTAACGAATGCTAAAGTCGTCCGAGAGATTATAATAATCGATATTTTTCGATGCACAGCGTGACCGCCAAAATTAACCGCGCCTACGCACCTATGAAGATGTTCTCGCTGATGGCCATGCTGATGCTCATCGGCGAGGTGGGTTTCATGCTGGCCATTGACTTTGGTAACGTCATGACCCACATGCGCTTCTTCATTGCCCTGGCTGGACTCTTGCTTTATCTGCGCTTCATTTGCTGGCCCGGCCAAACCCTCATCGACGCCAGTTTGTCCGTTTTTTATTCCAGGTTTATAATCTTTACCTCATGATAGGGCAAACCTGCTAATATCTGATCACTTTTATTCAAGTCGTATTTGAGTCATTCATTATCAAATTATTGTATTGAACGCGTAAACAAAGTATAAATATCACAAAAATGATTAAAATATATTGCGTTGAAATGTACTCGGCTACTAGAAAACTTTAATTTTCAGAAAGTTACCGCTACTTTAACTAGATTTTTGATAATCAAAGTTTTTGTGGAATCTTTTTTAACGAATACTGATAAATTTAATTATTTTCTAGAAATTCTCATTGTTTTTTTAGATAAATGAAATCATTTTACGCAAGAAAACATTCGGTTACCAAAAGGTTTACCCTTATTATATGCGTCATCAATAAATATTTAAGCTTCCTATATAATAGAGCATTATTCGCGGTTGACACGCGGCCCCCAAAAAAGTGAATTATTCAACGTAACCGCAAGAAAACATGTTTTTTTCTTTCGCAGCTACATGAACGACTGGTACCTGTTCACGCCGAAGCTGCGCTACCTGGTGCGAGGCATAATGTGGCGAGCCTCGAAGCCATGCGTCATCACCGCGGGTCCCTTCGCCGTCATCAGTTCCGAGACCTTCTATTGGGTGAGCGTATTGATTTTCTATAGTCTTCTATAGACAAATAACAAAAAAAAAATAATAATAATCGTTATCGATTGTCGCCACTCGGCATATGTGTGTATCGCGTCGTCTATCGTCGTCAAGGTCATTAAATCCTCGTACTCGTACATGTCTTTTCTCATGAAAATGGACGGAGAGAGCTTCTAATAATGATATTTTACACGTGGGCTTCCGCCGTTGGATCCACTGCTCATCGTACGATCCAGCCCACGTGACAGCCATAAAGGTGAGTCTGGCACATCCAGCTGTAATATAATTTTCTAATCTTACGCGTGTGAAAAACGCGAGACTCGAGAGCCATGTATAGAGATGATTTGGAAATTTACCGCTTCGCGCCGACGCACTGGGGGCTTGGCAGCCCGCGATGCATACGTGTTTAGCGGCACACATGCACAATCACTACACAGACGCAGGCAACACACGATCAGGCGCGACAAACGTGACCACGAGACTTGCGTGCGCAGCTCGACGAACGAATGATTTTGTCCCCCCTCCCTTCTAAGTCTCGACCAAGCCAACTCTAATATCGCCTCGCCGTTTGCCCTTCAAATGACACTGCTTCTGTGGTGAGCATAGCGAGCGGTTCTATCATTCCTCACAGACTCTAATGTAAGTATACGGATTAGAGTTTTAGAAAAAGTCTATAACCATCGTAGTTCTGTCTATTTTTTGGTTTTTCCATCGATCATCAGTGCAAACATACATAATCGCGAGTGTTTTCAGTTTTTCTATCTATTATTTAACTGCAGTGCGTGTGTACGTGTGCGATTTTCTTCTTTTTTTTTATTCAACTTAACGCGGAAGTGCTCTGCCGGTCCGCAAAAGAACGTTTTCTCTCATTGTGCCAACTGGCCCGTGGCATTTTAAACGAGCCCAGCATCGGTTTCTATTTCTGCATTTGACGTCGTGTACGATTTAAATGCCTCGCCCTTTATAGCCGACCGAATAACTGCTCCGAAGTTTTGAAAATTATCGCATTTCCAGAACTTTCGCTGTAGTTCGTACGTGATTTTCGAGCATTGCGCAAACACCGACACATCGCACCATCCTCGTCCCCTCGTGAATATTTCACTATCGCGCTACGTGGATTAAAAAACCTGATTTCGTGAAGCCGGCTCGGCACGCGTGTCATTGAAGGTTATGTCTATGGGAGGCATGGATTTTTTCCCCTCTGCCTCGCGGACGCATTTTCGTATCAATGAAAATTTTCACACACGGAAAACTCATTCTCGCGCGCGCAGATGACGTAACGCGAGACTCGGTCGACTCGTGCATCTCTTTTCACACATTTATATACACGTATATCGCTCGCGATGCAACGTACACATATAATGTGTACCACGAGACCTTCGCGCAAGAGAGAGATAGCTATAGATAGACTGACTGTGCAGATGGTCTATCGATCGATCGTCGTGTGTGCATGTGTATGCGCGAAACATGGCGGAGGCCAGAGGGAGACGCGACGACGACGTGCTTTTCGGCATGTGCACCAATAGCACCTTATCATCTCTAGAGATGAAACTTCATTCCATTTTTGCAATCGCATGATTTAACGAGCTTCAATGATCTTGAGTAGTCGAGGAAATATTATAATTCACTCTCGAGAAGAATAAATCATCAGACTCGACTCGAGCAAGATTAAACGCATCTCGCTTGCACTCATACCCGCTAATTATAATTATCTCCCAGTGACGAAACATTGGTTGATCTGCCGACGTCTCATAATTTTGTACTATCAATCTACATGTCTTTCGCGGTTTAAGAGGAGAAAGTAAGAAAAAAATTGTGACGTAATAGTTTTGTACGATTAACGGTTACTCTTGCCAATTTGCTTCATCTCAGCTGTGGCATTGACGAGGCATATAGGGGTCAGCAGTCATTCATTATATAGGCAGAGTTTGCGTCGCTTTGACACAATCGAGACTATAACTGACTGTTTGCCATCACCTTGTCCAAATTAAACGACGAGTATTATTTTGAACGTCGGTCAAATCTCAGCCCGATTCAAGGCCACGCGGGTGGTCACCTGCGCGAAACACCGACCTTGATCGCCCTCTGGTCTCGCTCTCAAACTTTTATCATCTATTCGCGTTCGTCCGACCGTACGCTTCATCCCGCGCAGCTGTCAATTCACCGAAGTAGAATTAAGTAATTTACACAGATAAGATGACGAGTTTATCTAACGATTTTTATGTTTTTTCATCATTTCCAGACTTAAACTCCAATCAACATGAGCAAAATCGGTATCAACGGATTCGGCCGCATCGGTCGCCTGGTGCTCCGCGCCTCGATCGAGAAGGGAGCCCAGGTCGTCGCCGTCAACGACCCCTTCATCGGTCTCGACTACATGGTCTACATGTTCAAATACGACTCCACCCATGGTCGCTTCAAGGGTGAGGTCAAGGCCGAGGGTGGCTGCCTCGTCGTCAACGGCAACAAGATCACCGTCTTCAACGAGCGTGACCCAAAGGCCATCCCATGGGCCAAGGCTGGTGCTGAATACGTCGTCGAATCCACCGGTGTCTTCACCACCATCGAGAAGGCTTCGGTAAGTCGAGCTTTTTTTGCCCTGTTCGCGATCGATAACGATCCAGCGCATTTTCGTTACTTTGGTCATCCTATCGAGGTGATCGATTTCCGAAAATGCGCTACAGTAATTTGCTGGGATAATTAGCTCACTTTAGTTTTCACAATAGCTGTTGTGAGTCAGTCACCTATCTACAAAAAATCAAAATAAACAACTTTTTCAAGTATCTTTATCGAAGTTTCAATTTTGATCAATGTTTTATTTTTGAATTGCAGGCTCATTTGGAAGGTGGTGCCAAGAAGGTCATCATCTCCGCTCCATCGGCCGACGCACCCATGTACGTGTGCGGTGTGAATCTCGACTCGTACGACCCAAGCCACAAAGTCGTGTCCAACGCCTCGTGCACGACCAACTGCTTGGCTCCCCTCGCCAAGGTCATCCACGACAACTTCGAGATCGTCGAGGGTCTCATGACCACCGTTCACGCCACCACAGCCACCCAGAAGACCGTCGACGGACCCTCTGGCAAACTGTGGCGTGATGGACGTGGCGCCGGCCAGAACATCATCCCCGCCGCCACTGGCGCAGCCAAGGCCGTCGGCAAGGTCATCCCAGCCTTGAACGGCAAACTCACCGGTATGGCTTTCCGTGTGCCGGTCGCCAACGTGTCGGTCGTCGACTTGACCGTCCGTCTCGGCAAGCCAGCCACCTACGACGAGATCAAGGCCAAGGTCAAGGCCGCCGCTGAGGGACCCCTCGCCGGTATCTTGGGCTACACCGAGGAAGAGGTTGTCTCCTCCGACTTTATCGGTGACAATCACTCCAGCATTTTCGATGCCGCCGCCGGTATCCAGTTGAGCAACCAATTCGTCAAGCTCATCTCGTGGTACGACAACGAGTTCGGCTACTCATCCCGTGTCATCGACCTCATCAAATACATGCAATCCAAGGACTAAGCGCATTTTACAAAATCAGTCGCGTCAAGAGCTGGGAGTGGTTAGTATTTATATTTTATTATATCATTGCATTACTGAGCACTATTCTCTCATTTGTCATTTATCTATAGATGGCAGATAGATTAACGTGCCAGATTAATTTAATAAGTTAATTAGCCCATTTTAATGAATTTTTGTTAGCATGGGTCAGTCACTTACTTACATTCACACACTTGAATATATTCATTATTTGTAGAAAGATTTAGATCTGAAATTTAAAGACAACGTTTTTTTCTTTTTCAGTTGCGTTTTTGATCCAGGATCGTACTAAAGATAACAGACAATAGTTACGACAAGCAGCGTTGAGCTCTAACTATTCACGGCAACAGCGTTTATTTTTCGATCAAAATATTCTGTCTGCTTAATCGAAGAAAAAAAATCAGCTAAATTTTAGACATATGAAGTATTTTCAAAGTAGCGGTTTTAACACAGTGTTATTCAAATTATATCCAAGAAAAATTAAAAAAGATGACACTGTGATTACATATTTTGAACTTAGAGACTGGCTCTCTAGGATGCTCATTTTAATTGCTGTTCACACAATATATACCAAGTACATTAGTGTTTTATTCCTTGGAGAAAATTGATCTTTCAATTTATGCTTATCGTTTCGACGTTCAAAATATGTTTTAACAAGGAACGATATTCGTTCTAATTTTGTTTACGCTGAATGTATGATTTTTAAAAAAAAATTACTGTTCAGTAAAATTGTCATTCTCTATTGAAAAAATTATATTGTAACTTTTTTTCAAATTATTTTTTCATTATAACGTTAACTACAATAAATGTTGTTATCGTCACAAAAATATATGTTTTAAATAAATTTATTAAATCCCTATACGCTATTCAAATATAAATTACATCAGTCTCTTTTAAGTTTACAACTAAATATATCACAATTCATCTGTGGATTTTTTGTTCTTCCTCTCTCTTCTATTTTTCGCGCTGGAAATGATCTCGTACGCTTGCTGAATGTCAAGGAATCTTTCTTGCGTCAGCTGACATTCTTCTGGCGTACCTTTACACTTGTCTGGGTGATTTTCCCTGGACAACTTTCTCCATGTGGAGGTGATCTGACTTTGAGAGGCTGTTAGTGACAAGCCCAGTACCTAGATTAAATTTGATTTTAAGTGAAATCGATTTGAGAGAAATTTTTACTTTTAACACTTTATGCTTACTTTATACGCATTTTTTTCGCCTCGAGGATCGGACATTTCTATCAATTGATTCCAAGTGGCGTAAAAGCCTTGATGCTGGTACAGTCGCCAGATTTCTTCCAAACACGGCTAAAACAATATAGATCATGTTTATGAATTATCATCCACGCAGTCACGCATAATTTACAATTTTTTTCAACAAACCTGAAGATCGACCCAAATAGGCGACGTCCAAAAGTGCTCAATCGCCTCCGACAATTTGATCTCCTCACCCTCGGCGTCAACGAAGCTACCGTTGAAGTACGCGATACTGCCCAACAGTAACGCGTAAACGATCGCGATCGCGACGAAAATGATCACGCTCTTCGCCAAGGATCTTTTGGGTTTTTTAGTGGTGCACCACTCTTTGGCGAAAAAATTAAAGACCAGCGTGGACGACACTATCATGAGACCGAGCCAATAGTCCTCGTTGCCGATATAATCCAGGAACGGGTAGAAAATGTAGGCGGCGAACGTGCACTGCCACAGGGAGCCTCGTTCTCGGCCGATATTTCCGACGAGCCAAATTCCTGAATTTATTTACTTTCGTTAATGAATGAGTTCGTGGGAAAACACGACTTGCAAACGTACCCAAAGAAACTGCAAGAGGCACTAAAACCATCAGAGGCTTCAAATTCATGCCGTTGACCTCGTCCTTGGGGATGGCCAGGAGAACCAATTGGCCGAACCAGTAGGCAAGTACGCAGGCCAAGGTACATCGTAACCAGTTGTAAGGCGGCTATACATAAACGATCGTCAAGTTTTTTTTTTTATTATTTACACATTGCTCGCGATTAATTATCATTACTTTTTTGCTTTCTTGTCGTAGCTGTTTGAACCACTCCTCCTGGTACTCATGCTGGTCGTTAACCTCGGCTACGTATTTCGGTATCTTGATGCAATCCCGGAACCAGCCGAGAGCGAAGCCGCCTCCCGTGAAGAGCCAAACGATCGCCTGCTCGTCGCGACCGAGATACACGTGATGGGCGCCGAACTCGCCACCAAATAGCCACCAGAAGTACGTCCAACACAGGCTTTTTCGAGCACCACCACCACCACCAGCACTCGATTTTCCACTCATGATTTTTTCTATTTTTATTTTGATTCTATTGCTACGCGTCTAAACGAGTATTACGTGATAACAGCTTGTCTCACTGGTCCATGACTGCTGGCCCTCGAGACTGTACTGCTGTACGTAGACCACGTAGGTAGACTCTGCACGCAGAGAGAAAGTCGCGGCACGCGGTGTATAAGGAGTCTAACGGTAACCGGTGTGCGTGGTAGACTTCTCCTTCCACAGGGGGGCTCTTGATTCTTCTCATTCCACAGGTGAACGCGCGGCAGAGGAGAAGGATGTATAAGAGAACTCACAACTTGACACGGTTTCGATTTGATAAACAATATTTATATTTATTTGAAAATGCGTATTTTTTAATAAGTTTGTGTAAAGTATTTCGGTACAAACTACTCGCTTAAACATTAGGAGGTTCTCTAATCGTAAAGTGCGTAAAGACGACTAAGATTAAATTGTATTGTCGAAATTGTTTTTAATCTAAACCGAAAATTCATCGCTTCGAACGAATCAACAATCGTATTTATTTCTCTTAATTTTTTTCTTAACGCAAACAGACTTTTCTTTCCGAGGGCGTACTTTACACTGCACTCAACATCCTACAATATATAAAAAAGCAAGACTGCTCTTTAAATAGTCACAGTTTTTTTAATATAGTTATTCAGCTATAAAAACGATCTTTTAACTGAGGAAATAACAAAATCTCAATATCGCATTATCATATAATTCATTTCATGGCACAGAGATTTCATATTTGTGTAATGATAAAAACGCTCGTAAAGTTTGATAATTTTACTTTTCTCTTTTGCAACAATTTATTTTCCTCGATGAATGAACTCTGCCCATATAAATAAACAATTCATTAAAGTCGGTACGGCCAGCCGACAAGGCAGTTCATTAATTCGCCTTTTTTAGTCTTATTTCATTAAATTTCATTCTTTTAAATCGATCATTCCTCGTCGATAATCATTCGCTGACGTCCACGCCACAAAAAATTCCTCGATTATTTACAAAAACATTGAAAGTGAACAAAAAATCGTTGTCTTAAACTCAACTGGTATACGCGCACAATTAATTCCAACGCATTTTACTTTATGTTTCGTTTTTTTATAGGATCGAACGTGAAAAATATTCTCTCATTTTCAACTGTAGATTTAATCATTTACAAAGTCCTTCAACTGAACTCGGATCAAGCTTTTTAACAATAATCTTGAATATTCTATGACTTCAACCATTATTAAATGTAAACTCTCTTGATATGCATCAACGTACAATTTTTATAAGCTTCGCTGCTTTTTAGTGCCCACAATGAAGCAACAAATTTTTTGTATTCGTGCTTACAAATGGAACAAATACTTTTTCAAATACATATTTATAATAGCGCAGACCGAAAATTTACAATAGCACAAATTAGTAGTGATACTAATTGACATTAACAATATTTATATTAAATAAAAGTACGACTAGTATTTGATTTTTTCAATAACGTGTTAAATATTTAAGTGTAAAAATTAATAGCAGCATATCTTAATTGATCAGTAAACGAAAACTTGATTCTAACATATGAATCAAGTGTTTTTTTCAAATTTTGAAACGCACCGTAAAGTGAATTAATTGCGAACAAAAAATAAAACCAAATTACTGCCACAAATAATTAAAAGACATGCTCCAAAAGTTCTTGAATTCATAGTTTCGATTATTTTTCTTTTACAAGGAAGAAAATACCTTAGATACCATAGATGTTTATCGATTCTAATCTCGTTAAAAGCTCGAGAACGGTACGTTACAAATTTTATTATTCGTTGAAATTAGAAAAGCTAGAAACGATAGTATCAATACTCTATTATAAGGCTGCATAGTGAACGTGATCATGCTAGAAGTAAAAGCTTGGCTCTGAGATTTATTCGCTCTTGTAATGCTCCGGCTAATTCACGTGTAAGCTCCTCGCAAACTTGCCGCAACTCTGTGTTTTTTTCTCTCAATTCCTGCAAGGTCAGTCGTTTACTATTATCGCCGTCGTTTTCATCCTTCGATGCATCGTCTTGACCACTGCCTCGTCCTAAAAAAATCGCATGAATTTATAAAAATCTGTTATCAACAGGGTAATATTTGACTTTTCATCGTTCTTACTTGGACTGGGCTTTTTGTAAATATGAAATGCACCACAAACTCCGGTGAACTGCTGCGACGAAGGAACATTGTTTTCTACAGTCTGATGATTCTCAGTGACTTTCGGTGCGAATTGCGAGAAATCCGCCACAAAATTTTGATCCTCGTGGTTCAATCGTGGAGCATCACCGCCCTCGCTCTTTTGACCCACGAGTTTTCTATTTGTGCCACTGCTTGTCTGGGATAATATTTTAGAATTAGATTTTAGTTTATTTGCGTTAGTACCAGTGTTATTGTGGTAGTAACTCACAATTCCGGGCGAGATTCTCGGCGGAACTGTTGGTGGAGCGCCTGCAACATCACAATTAATCATCAGTTCGGCTGTAATCAATATCAGCGAATACAATGAAAAGCAAAACACCAACCTAATTTATTAAGGTCTAAACTAGAACTTCTCGTGTGTGTTCTATAAGGTCTAGGTGGTGGGGGAGGAGGTGGTTCTTTTTTCGGCGTTGCTAATGTAACGTCTTCCGTTAGGACCGGTTTTTTCGCTAACGGCCGTTGAACGGCAATCATTGAATTATCGTCACCTAGTATCGTAGCAACGCCGTTATTTCCGTTGGCATTCGATGCAAGTATAGCAGCCTCGGGCGTCAGTCTCAACGGTACGGGATGTAAAATTTTAGGGTCCGATGCGACTGCTGCCTTTTGAAAGTCAAAATTGACGGGTTTTGGACCGGGGCTCGTTAGCGAGTTACTGTTACTGTTGCCATTGCTGTGGTTCCCATTGCTGCCTGATGCACCAGTTGGGGAGTCAACGAATTTCGTCCACTCCTTCACCTTTTCTTTGCTCGATGCTGCAGAAGCTACGACTCTGGCTGCGGCGATTCTGTTCAATGAGAACAATGAGAAATGCATTCGATAATCAGATTTTAAATTACTGAAATTTACCTGGTAGTAGGGCTAACTCTAGGCACAGGTACAGGTGGTGGAGGAGGTTGCTGTACAGGTGGTGGTGGAACAATTAATTTAGCCAGCTGAGGTGGCAGGACATCCGGCAGTGGAACTGAATTGCGCCGCAAAACGGCTAAATGCATTGCTACATAAAATTCATGTAAGCTAAGAGCACTATCTCGCGTGACATCGGCTAACTGCCAGATTCGACGCAGCTCTTCTACAGGTAATCGAGATTTTTCGAAAAATTTACGAGCTAAGGAACCTGCGAGTAGTCCTTCGGGATTAGGCTGCAATTGAGCAAACTGTGCAGCATAATAATCTCGTTGTTCATCACTTATCCTCCAGACTTCTTCAGGTGGAAAAACATCTCCATCTTCTCCTTCACCTGTAAAATGTATAAATGCATAATGAATAATGCTAGCTTCTACTTGAGAGTACTTTTAATGAAACAACTAATTAATTACCATCATCACTACTGTGTCGTTCTGAACTTTCTTCTTCAGTACCTAATAATTGTCTCTGTTCTTCAGAGACTAGAAGACTTTGCCAACCAACAGATTCTGTAGTAACTTCTCTTCCTAAAGCACCATCGTTTCTTTCTGTAATAACACTATTTGTAGGTGTAGGAGAATCTGTGCTACCACCTTCATTCTCTCGAGGTGATTCACGATCACTCTCACTATCTGTTGTACTTTCAGGCATGTGTTCGGTTTTTTTGGAACTTTTCTTGTGTCTATGCTTCTTGGCAACCTCTTCTTGGTCTGCTGGCGATGATCCCCACCAAAATTTGGGCAGCTCTAATTCATTTATATTTGCAGGTATTATTTCTATGGTAGCTTCCAGGCCAGTTTGGTGCGCTGCTACAAGTTTAAGAGCTGCGAAGAACTGCTTTCTATTGACTGCATTACTCTTGGTACCACCGCAGATTTCTAGAATCTAAACAAATACACATTGATTCATTACTTCTAAGCCACGTACAAATAAAAATGTATATAAGGTTAAAAAGACACAGACACTCAATACATCTTTACTGCATCAGGTATTGACTCATACAAACATTTGCTTAAAAGGCATTAGTGATTCATGCTGTAGTTATTGAAAATGCTCTGTTTAGATAGAGGTGTAAAAACTGAATACGAATATAATACAAGCCATGCGTTAATAAAGATAAGAATAACGAAGAATAGATTGATAAAATACTATCGGTAAGTCAACGACAGGAAAAAAGTAAAGTTAGCCAGCAAAACAGCAGTGAAAAATGATAACACAAACATTGCTACCGTCCTCTCATGTAACTTGTTATTCTTGCTTTCTCTCTGTCTCTCTTCTATCAAAGTGCATTGCACCCATTCACGCATTGCAATTAATCTCTATACGAGTCGTAGTGCATAATAAAAAAAAAGGAGCAATAAACAATCGACGGTTATTTACCTTGAGCGTGACATCGGTGGGCAAGTGAGCCGACCTGAGGAGTTCCGCGAGCTTGGTCGTGGCGACGATGTCGCCGTCGTTGTTGTCGCAACAATAGGTATAAATGTCACTGTAATACTTGTACTCGCTCTCGGTGAGCGGTATACTGGTGAGCGATAACGTCTCCCAGTCGACCATTTCGCCACTCTCGGTACGCGTATGTAGTATGTAATTATATTCGCGACTGCAGCACACACCGTGTATACGCACACCTATAACAACTATCCACGAAGAGGCTTTGTTTCTCTTCGTTTTTTTTTTCTATACAGGCCAAAACTTTCTAACGCGCACCATGTATACGTATTGTATATGCGATATAGATATAATCTAATTACTATCAGCGATGTTCGTCGATGCGTGCATGCGTGCAGTACAACACAGGAGCCGTAGAGAGAGAGATAGTTATGCCTTGATAAAAGTCGCTCGCACAGTTTTTTTTTATCGCGACTCCGCACTCTTTACTGCCGCGTCAACAATATACACACGCATTCTGATACACACTCACACATATGATAGGAGATCGCGACATACACTCGCGCGTGTGAGCTCCCGAACTCGAACGCGCCTGGCACATACTGTTTAGTGCTGCTGCAGGCTGCTCCGTATATGAGTGTGTATACATGGTAGGCAGTGTCAGAGAGTTTTACGCTGCAGGTAATTTCTACTTCCCTCTCTCTTGCTCTCTTAGCAGCAACAGCCGCCCTCGGGAATGGCCATTGCCTGTAAATACATGCGCAAATGCGTTGCGTGTGTGTGTACGTGTGTGTGACGTATGCTAGCTGCGCTCCATAATGCATGAGTTGCGGTCGACCAAATGCGCATTTTAGCTCCAAAGTTATTAACGGGTCCCTCATTGACCCATTTTTGTATAACTCTATATCTTCCGGTTTTTTAATGATTAAACAATGGGCTTTTTAATATTTTTCTATTTTTATAAATGTTTCACGCTAAAAAGAAAAGTAAACATAATGGAAACGATAGATTTCTTTTAATGATGATTAGGGATAATCACTCCAAAGAGAGTAATTCCATCTATTTTTATAATGAATTGGAATCAGCACTTTGCGTTCATATTAGATCCATTAAATCACATCATATGACAAATCACTGCTTGTTTACAATATACTCCGATTTCTCATATGAAATTTCCGTAGAATCAGAATTTAAATGCCCCGACACGCGGTCTTTTTTATCGACTGAGGGGTGCTTTGCTGACTGCTATAGTATATACAGCGCTCGCAAGCAGCCATCGACAAGGTGGCTGCTACTTTACGACGTATTTATGTCTCGTTTTTTCGTTGTTCCACGAGACAAGTTAGTGTAACTGTTAAAACGTTACGTGATTGTTATCACGATTGACCCTGCGTATAGAGGTTCGATGTCACGTTGATTATATCGGAGCACACAGACGACGCATCATCTGTCTCCGACACACACACTGACTGGACTTTGGGGCAACAATAGGCTGGATGCAGTTAACCTCTCTACGTTTTTCATAACATTCGTAGCAATCAATCGCATTTTTTGTTTACACGCTTCAGTATCGACGCTAAGCAGGTGCATTAACAAATATTTGTTTCTCCGTGCAGTTAATTCTACGTTTTTACTTGTCACCTTCCGTTTTGAATACGCTGAATCAAGATGAAGAAAAAGGTAAGAAAAACATTTTTCGTTCGACTTGTCAACGCCCATTGGTGGTTTCGCTGCCAGTGTTCGATTTGCATCATTACATTGTTATTGATGATTTATACAGGTTCTTTTGATGGGCAAGAGTGGCTCAGGCAAAACTAGCATGAGAAGCATTATCTTTGCTAATTACATTGCTAGAGATACTCGAAGGCTGGGTGCAACAAGTGAGTAATCGATTTTTTGAAAAAACGTCAATTATTTTGAACACTGCTAATTTGCATTAATTTTGTAGTTGATGTCGAGCACAGTCATGTACGTTTTCTGGGAAATTTGGTCCTGAACTTGTGGGATTGCGGTGGACAAGAGGCATTTATGGAGAACTACTTTGCATCGCAGCGTGACAATATTTTCAGAAATGTGGAAGTGCTTATCTATGTGTTTGACGTTGAATCAAGAGAACTCGACAAAGATATGCACTACTATCAAAGTTGTCTCGAAGCCATATTGCAAAATAGTCCTGAAGCCAAAGTATTTTGTCTCATCCATAAAATGGATCTTGTTCAAGAGGATCAAAGAGATGCAATATTTAGAGAGCGCGAGGAAGATTTAAAAAGATTAAGTTTGCCACTACAGTGTACATGTTTTAGAACAAGTATATGGGATGAAACATTGTATAGGTAAATGTTTAAATTACATGCTTAGCTCAAGTATTAAAGGAAAAACTATTAAAAATTATAATTTTTTTTTTATTAGGGCATGGTCTTCCATAGTTTACATGCTTATTCCAAATGTGAAAGAGTTGGAACAAAGTTTGAATCAATTTGCTAATATAATTGATGCAGATGAAGTGCTTTTGTTTGAACGAGCTACATTCCTTGTTATAAGTCACTGTCAGAGGAGGTACCATAGAGATGTACACCGATTTGAAAAAGTATCTAATATTATTAAACAATTTAAATTAAGTTGCAGGTAAATTTTTAATATTTTTCATGTAAGAATTATGTTTACAGTTGATTATAATTTAAAAAATATATATTTCAGTAAACTTGCTGCTCAATTTTCAAGCATGGAAGTTAGAAACACAAATTTTGCAGCCTTCATTGATGTATTCACATCTAATACCTATGTTATGGTCGTTGTATCTGACCCTGCTATTCGTAAGTAATCATCAATATCAATCAAAATCTTATTTTTGAGTAGAGTCTAATTAAAAAAACGTTATGCCTATCCAGCCTCTGCAGCAACATTAATCAACATAAGAAATGCGCGCAAGCATTTTGAAAAATTAGAGCGTGCGAGTCAGAGTTCATCGCTAAGCAGATAGAAAACAGTATCAAGTTAGATGATAAAATCATCATTCATAAATTATATTTGTTTTTCGAAAGGTGTATTTTTGTATATTGTCCATAACTAAATGGAAGCTTTCAAAAAGACGCCCAAGTGGAGAGTTTCAACTGTGACAACACATACAGGGAAGACTGCACTTGATTTTATAAGCCAAAACTCAAATTGTGTTATGAACGTATACATATAATGTAAAATGCTATATAATGTTGAGCATGACTTTTATCGAATTAGATTCTTTTTTTTTTGCAATTGACTTTTTTGTTTTACGTTGAGATGATCAATTTTATATAAAAAGAAAACAGTGATTTTATTTATGAAATAAACCGATATTTATTTTTTCAAAATAATCTACCCGTCTCTTTCATTGAATGGAGTCTCCACACCGTCGTTCATAGTCGTACACAGGATTTCAAAAAGACGCGCGCGCACCCGAAGACACGACCAAAACGCTGTGTATAGCCGATCGATGATCGTTCGATGATATGCGTAGTTAAGTAGCTGTCGCACGTGATCGGCGCCGCCGCCACCGCTCATATTTGCAAGGCCGCCGCTAGCTGCTCTACGCGCTTACTCGAAAGCTCGAGTTAAGATTGTTCTTTCGCGCAATGTTCGTGCAATGACGAAAACGAGGAATTACGTTGCACGCATACGTACATTATGTGTATTGCCTCCTCTCGGCAGTCTCGATTTCATGATGCGTCATGCCGCGTTGCTACCGAAGCAGACAACAATTTCCGCGCTGAAATAAATAAATAAGTAAAAAAATAGCGCGAGTTTTCCTTTCGGCGCGATGGACCGAATAATCAAGGGTGTCATGAAGTACCGAAAATGTCACCGGGAGGGTATGGTGAAGCAATTCCAGCAGGTCCGAGACAATCCACAGGTGAGCACCGATCGAGCATGCACATGCATGTGTAGTATAAGTACTTGACTATATCGTGTTGATGATGCGAGTATACACACCTGTTGTTGTGGCCCACTGCTATAGATGGCATATAAACACTCGATTTCTCCTTGGATTGTCAACAGCCGAAAGCCGTATTTTTTACCTGCATGGACTCGAGAATGATACCGACCAGATTTACGGAAACCAACGTCGGCGATATGTTCGTGGGTAATTGACACACAATGATGATTAATTAGCGTGTATCGATCCATTCGGTAGCTGCTGCACCATCATCTCATACACCACATTTGAAAACTGGGTTAATCTTCATGCTTGCGTAATTATAATGCCGTGTAATAGCCGACTTCTTCACGCCTCATTTGAATGTATAGAATAGAATACAATTTTTTTTTTGTTCCGTCCTCTATACGCTAGATTGCTATATATAACCGGAGGAAGGTCCGGAGTATTATAATCGATCGATACGCCGAGAGATGATGTATTTTTTATTTTCATTGTAGTGAGAAATGCTGGCAACATAGTGCCGCACTCGTCGCACTTTATGGACGAATTGACCATGTGCGAGCCGGCCGCCCTCGAGCTCGGCTGCGTCGTCAATGACATAAGGCACATTATCATTTGCGGCCACAGCGACTGCAAGGCCATGAATCTGCTCTACGCGCTTAGAGATCAGGAGTTCGCCTCGCAGGTAAGGCAAATTAATAATATGCAATAGTACACAGTTATTTGTGTGCGCATGAAACAAATTTCGCTCTGTATTTTGATGTAATACACGAGTTACTTCGATCGCGAATTCGTCTCTCTAATGATCTATTGCTATTATATCGATACTGATATTATATAAAGTCAAAACAACTTAATGATCAACATGAACGTAAATTAGTATTATTAATGACAGATTTACGGTAGATAAGGCAATACGTGATAGCTTTTTAACGCAATCTTATTTTTGTCAGTATTCAACATGAAGAATGATGAAAAAAGTTCCACACATTTCCAAATGAAAGAAACGTTGAATGCATGATCTCGTATTTTTATTCTTCACCGTTGTATTTGTATTCGTATCTACATGTGTGTGAGCGCGGGAACACGATGTTGACAAGAGGCCAAGTTTATGTTTGTATAACTATTAGTATTGATAGAACCCTGATTATTCTCGGATGTCTCGCACAACGGGTTGTAATATTAATTAATCTATTCTAAATAAAATAAGAGTATTGTTCCACCAGTATCAGAGCATTTGACACTAGAAAAAATGTTGCAAATGTTTATACATAAGATATTTTTCAAAATTGATGCAGAATCCATGCTTAGATTAAAAGAATACCTGCTCGCCAACAATATTAATGATGAAAATTTCAATTGTAACGACAAAAACGTTTTAAGACAAATGCTACGAGCGACAGTGAGAAAATTTAAATTCGAGGATCCAACGAACGACCAAGTGGAGTTGTTTAAAGTTACGATTCAACGTCACCCGATTGATTATTTGAAGGTCGTTAATCTGTATCGTGTGAATCATGACTTACTGTCCATCGCTTGCGTTGAATATGTCCTGTATCCCGAAAAAACTTATGAACAATACAAAAGTATATATCGTTGCAACGATAAAAAAGCGACCGAGGTGTATAATAAACTGTGTGATAAACCAGAAGATTACATAGTGAACCGTAACATTGTTAAAAAGGCTAGATATTTTTTTAATCATGAAGAGTATTTGGGAGAAAATGAACCCTGGGAAAGAATAAGATCGTATTTACGAAGCCTTCGCCTGGATAGGGACGAGTTGACATACATAAAAGACACATCAATACAATTAATGTGAGTGAACATTTAAAAAATAGTTAGTGCAATTTTTTACTCTAATATTACATTTAAACCACAGTGATGGTGTACTATAATACTGAAAGCTATCAACATTGTTCAACCGTCAGAAAATTCAATCAATCCGATCGAAGATCATTCCCCAACTTTGCCCAAGAACGACCATCAGCTTCGTCCACCTACTCCAAATGTCTCATCGGTCAATTCTGTTCCTTGACCAATTGTATAAATACAATAAAACCACGTATTTATTCAACGTTACACTGCTGACCAGATTGTATTACCGCAAATATCCAATCCGAGCTCCTGACCAGCAAAAATTATAGAAGTTCATGAAGATTTTACATACGGTTACATCTTTTCTATTTAGAGGAGAAAATGCTGCAATTTTATCGGAAAAATATAATAAAAAAATTACGAAAATAGTATGAAAAAAATACAGTGACACTATTTATTGCAGAAATTATGAAACGATTGTTATTTAAATAGAATTGTTATTTTTATCTTAATAAAGTAAAATCGTATTTGGAGTATGAAAAAAACGCCAAAAAAAGCAATACGTTGGTACAGAACTTCTTCTAGAAAATATAATCAATCCTTCAGTTGAATTGAATTTCTTACTAAGTAAGACATTTCCCTGATAAATGGAAAAACATACATGCACAAAGATAAGAAAAAAGAGCAGCGAAACTTTAGTTTAAAATCAAAAACATTAGGGTTCATAGATTATTTTAAAAGTTACATGGTAAAGAAGAAAAATGTATTGTATTTTGAACATTTTATTTATTTTGCATAATTTTTTACAGATTTTTGAATGAATTGGTATCGGTTTTATATCATAATGTCAATCGATATTTAATCAGCGCTTATATCACGCCATCAACAGCAACAACACAGTGTACATACGTAACACACACACACGGAGATTGCGGTCTGCCCATCCGTGCCTGCTTCCAAGCTCCTTTACACACACGCACACATTACATAGACAAAGGGTCTTTTTTACTCCTTTTACATTAATTATTTTCAGCCCATTTAATTTGTAGCCTTTTTGGAGCTTTTCTGGTTCTGACAGGTCTTTCGTTATTACATTTTATTACGGTCGTTATTACATTTATTTTACCGTTTTGATTAGTTTGACCTGTAGCCGCCACGCAAATGTTGTATAAATCTCTGTTCGTCAACTTCTTGATAATAATTTCACATATCGCAAGGGGCAGCTGATAGTGTATCAATTTCCAGAAAGAATCCAGTGCCCAGCTTTGAAAAAATTTTCTCGACATCATCTCACATATTTGTCTACAACAAGCCTCATATGGCTTTTCCAAATGGATCCGTAGCAATTGGTCCGATTTCACTAACTCGTAGTAGTCTATACACTTCAGTCGTTTTGTCGTCTCTTGGGTTCGTAAATGTATTAGATCGTAGAGCGACAGACTCGGAATAATCATTATCGTTTTAGTTGTTTCTGCGAACCTTTCATTCCATCGTTCGTCAAGATCCTCCAACGACTCCAACAATTTGAGCTTGTCGAATAATTTCATAACTATCAGGGCGTCGTTACTGTCCAGCTCGTATCCTTTTTTCTCTAGGCACTCGATGATGGCTAGAAGACCAGTCATTAATCCCAATTTATATAGAATATCTTCGTCGATGTGCAAGTTGAACCGCTCGTTGAATCGAATCGAAGTGGGAAAAACGAAGCTCGACAGATCGGCGCCATGATCCAGCAAACTCTCGACCGAGAGCGGCAAGCAACCGATCACGGCCCGTTGAAGGGGTGTTTGGCCCAACTTGTCTCGGGCATCGATCTGGACCTGCTGATCTAGCTCGTCGTTGGTCCTCAAGAAAAATTCCGTCAAGTCCTCAACATGAAAAGTGTCTCTCCTGCAAATAATATGCAAGGGAGTAGATCCTTCTTCGTTGGCTCGATTCGGATCGGCTCTTCTCCTCAGCAGCAATTCAGCCACGTGTCCCGAATCATTGGTTAGAGCCAAGTGTAGCGGCGAATCGCCCGTTTTCGACCAGATACAATTGGGATCTTGTCCGCGCTCGAGGAATTTTCTAACGACTTCGTCGCAGCTAAATCGACAGGCCGCGTGAAAGTGTGTGCATCCAGACTCGTCGGTGTAATTCACATCAAACATGTTGTATATTCCAAAAAGATCAAGGATCATTTCCTTACAGACATGAGACCTCCAACTGTTTTTAACCGCATGATGTATTGGTGTGGCGCGACGTGGCGATATAATTCCCTTTTTATCAACGTCGGGTTTGTCTTTGTATTCATCTATGGCAGTGAGCGCAATGAACCTGTTGCCTGGCATATAATTGAATTTTTTGTCATTGTAAGTTATGGAGTCCCAGAGAAGACACTCAATCTCTTTGGGACGCAAAAAGAGCTCAAATTTAGGAAGCGAACGACGCGCTACTTGTATGTGATAGACTTGGACAAGAAAATTACATCGCTCCTCTTTGATATTCCAATCAACCTTGTTTCTTAAGTACCTCAAACTTACTAATGGTTCTGGGATATCGAAAGTTACATCGAATTCTTCTTCGCACGTGGACATCGTTTTTCGCGTTTACACACACACACACAGATACAGATATTTGTTCACTTTTAAATCACTTATTGCAGTAGATGCACACCTTTGCTTGTTGTTCGCGTTAAGGCGTCGTAACGTGTACTAACTGAATCGGCGGGCACTCCACATGAATCGAGTAAAAACACGTGGTCTATCTATTGGCTCCGAGCGTAAGCGCAGCGTAGCACTTTGTCATGTTAATTCTCATAAGAAAAAAATTTAGTTCAAGCGGCCGACGCTGGCATTTTTTCAGGACGCGTCCTGTTTTTCCATAAGATTACGTGTATATGGTGACTGTAGCGCTACTCTAAGCTCCGCCCAAACGCTCAGAGCGAATAGGAAGTGAACACATGGTTCTAAATGAAAGCCTCCACTATTAGCACGCAGCGCGAGACAGAGCTCCATAAAGTGGCAGCTACTAAAAGCGCGCAATTTAAAATTGTAAAAGTAAATGCATAAACAATTTTAATGAGATTTTTTTTCTTTTTTTTAAATCATGACAAATGATGTCGATAAGTTTTTTAATATAATTTAATCATTATAATTTAATTATTAAAATACTATATAACTGCTAATATGCTCATATTCATTCAGAAACATTACTGGTACTACAAATCATTTTCTACAATAAAAAGTGGAATTTAAACATATGCAGCCTGGGTTGTCAGACAACCACCTTTAGACAAATGTTTTGGTTTAAGTTAAAAAGTGGTTTCCAAGTTGGTATTTTTCATTGATTTATTACCGATCACATATCTTTTAGCAGTAAAGCAATCAGTCTGTCATCAAGTTCATCGAAATATATCACTAGCACATTGTTTGATTAGTTAAGAAATGCGATGTTATTACGTGAGGTTTATTAAAAATCCAGTAGCCAACTGAAAACTCGCTCCATTCATAGTTCCAAATAAAAGGTGAAAAAATAAATCTTGGCTGATCTTTGCTTAAAGAGCTCTAGGTAACTAAGTTGCCCAAAATAAAGTATTGCCATGATAGTGAATAAAGGTGTAATGATATTCGATAGTACGCTAGGTTTAGGTAAGATACATTATACAATTACAATTTTTATTAACAAAAAAAATTTGTACAAGTATCTACAAATATTGACAATTGTCAATCATCATTTTTTTTCGCAACTGCTGTTTGTGTAATCGTTGAATCCTTTGTGTATTTGCCTTCGGTGTGAAAGCAACTGCTGTTTTGGTCCAAATTCTCTTTCGCACATGTCGCATGCGTGGTCTTTGCGAACTTCATGGACTAGTCTAATGTGCAAGATCAAATTACTTTTATGTTCGAATTTTGTTCACATTAGTCGCACACATAATCCTTGCGATTTTCTTGTACTGTCCCCTGATGTTTAAACAAATGCGCTTTTTGGGTAAATTTCTTCTCACATTTTCCACATATATAATCTTTTCGACCTTGATGAGATGTTTTTTGGTGTCTTTTCAAATTGTTTTGATCCCCATATTTTTTCTCGCACTTATCGCACTTGTGATCTTTACGACCTTCGTGTACTGTCTTTTGGTGAAAGAGCAACTTAGTTTTTTGTCCAAATTTCTTCTCACACTTGTCACATGGGAAATCTTTGCGACCTTCGTGTACTGTTTTTTGGTGTTTTATCAAATTATTTCGTTGCCCAAATTTTTTGTTGCACACATCGCATCCGTAATCTTTGCGACCTGCGTGAACTGTATTATGGTGTCTAATTAAGTTCGATTTTTCTCCAAATTTCTTCTCGCAAGTGTCGTATGCGTAATCTTTGCGACCTTCGTGGACCATCTTTTGGTGCCTAAACAAATATGTTTTGAGATTAAATTTTTTCCCACATCTGTCGCATGCAAAATCTTTGCGACCTTCGTGTACTGTCCTTTGGTGGGTAAGCAAATGCGATTTTTTCCCAAATTTTCTCTCGCACTTGTCGCAAGTAAAATCTTGAAGACATTCATGTACTGATTTTTGGTGAAAGAGCAATTTAGTTTTTTGTCCAAATTTCTTCTGACACTTGTCGCAAACAAAATTTTTGTGACTCTCGTGGACTGTTTTTACGTGTAAGAGAAAAATCCGTTTATTTAAGAATTTCTTCGCACACTTTTCACATAAATAATTTTTGAAAATTTCGTGAAATATTTTTTTGTGTTTGAGTAAAGTGGATTTATTTTCAAATTTCCTCTCGCACTTGTTGCACCTGAAATCTTCGGGATTTTTGTGTGCTAATTTTTGGTACTTAAATAAACTTGATTTTTCCACAAATGTCTTCTCGCTTTGTCACACGCGAAATCTTTGCAGATTTTGTGTACTGATATTTGGTGTCTACTCAAATGACTTCGAAACTCAAATTTCTTTTCGCATTTGGTACATGAGAAATTTTTTTTTTTTTTTCATTATGAATTGTATCTCGGTGTGTTGTCAAACTGGATTCTAGTATAAATGACTTTGGGCGAATATCACAAATGTATTTTTTGTCGTCTAAAACAATGATGTCTTGTTCACTTGAATTATTTTTTGAGGCTCCATTTCAGTGCTTCTTAAATCAAACAATGGATCCTTCTATTCAGTATACCACGTAAAATGATTGAGTAAAATTTATCTTTTGTTATTATGTCTTGAATTCCAAACTAATTTGATTTTACTATAAACGTGATCAGTGTCCAAGGGGCTATTTCAAAATCGTTTGAGCATATTGTTAACAATCAAGTTACTAATTTATTCATTTACTTACTGTCCTTACAATATCTGAACCAGTTTGCGTTGATTTCTTTAGAGAATTTTTTTAGCCTTCTAAAACTAATTAATTCTAAAAATCTCCTTGTAACATCAAGCAATATAATAAAAAATGTTTAAATTTATTCCAAGAGAGGTCGCTCTCACGCCATAAAACTGCAACTCGGGGCCGGGCGCTCACAAAAAATTTGGCGTGAGAAACAGAGGTCCACGCTCGTGATTCATAAACTCATTATGACAAACGAACGGAATATCTGACCATGAGAATAGGAACGTGAAAAAGACTCTTCGCAATGTATGAACTGATACCTGGGTAATTGATACTTGAAGGGTGAGAGGATAAAAATAACCAACACAAAATAATTATATGAGAGTAAGAAGGAGGATGAGATTGAAAGAAAGTAATTAAGCTGATAGCTCGTCGCTAAGGATGGATAAGAACTAACTACAAAAGAAGAAGAAGCAGCGAGTCGCGCGATATTAGAGCGGTCGTCGCAAGCCACTGAAAAGACTCGGATAAATCCTAAAATAAAAGTATGAGCGCATTTGGTCGCGGGGACGAGCTGAGCCGAATTCATTCGTACCGAAATTCGGCGCCTCCGTATGACAGTTACCACGTACAAGTGGAACTCGTAAGGCGACGTGACTCCTGAGGTAATTGGTCGAATCGTAGCTATGATGCTACGGCCAGTTGACAATAGTTGGCGTGACGAACTGGGGAGACGATTGGGAAGCTATTCAAGTGAAACATAATCACAGAAAGAGAAAGTAATCATATGAAACTTTAAAAACCAGCTGAAATGAACGTGCATCTAGTGGCTTAGTAGTCCAAACCGTACGCCTCTGCCATCGTTGCATGTGGAGTGGATAAGCTGGGTTCGAGACTCGGCTAAACCATTCCAGGGTGCCGATCGAAAAATTTGATTATGAAGGGTAAATCCTCCTTTTGCATTTTTGTGGCAGAAAAAAGGAAAAAAAATCATAAAAAATAAAGCATTTTTCGTTGCGCTCACTCTCATAACGCAGACATTTAAATTACAAATTAATGATTTACATGCATGTGAAAACGCAGATTTTTTTTACAAAAAAAAACACTAGTTCACGCGGACTCTCATATTGATGTGTTGTCATGTCGTTACAAGCTCTCATGCCCTTTATAAAGGGTATGAATAAGGGGTAGGGCATTTTAATTTCAGTTAATCGCACTAGGTTTGAATGCTCTTCGTGTATCATAAATGCTCAAGTATTTCGAAAAACAAATTCATCCCTGAGAAAGGTTCAAATTGTAATATTCTAAATTATAAAAAAAAGTTTACGGTTTTCTGTTTTAAAAAGAGAAGACTCCTACAAAAAAAAAACGAAAAGAGCAAAAATGTATTAGAAGTAGGCAAAGAACACGTATGAAATTGATTGATTTGAATTTGTTAGTTGTGGACGGACAGGTCAATGAGAAACAGTCTAATGCCTGAGTATAATTAATTCGGTGATGGGGACAAATCTTAACCTATGACGCAGCCACCTACTTTAATTAAGATGCAATAATGACACTGGATATGTGATCACATAAGCATTGTACTTGAATTACCTTAACTTAATTGATTGTTCTAACCCGATTGAATGAAAATGCACCCAAAAAAGTTTATGACCGGGAATTATTGGTCATTAATCTCACTAATGAGTAGGTACAAGAAGCTGTGGCTAAGGGGGAATGCACCATGGTCTTTATTCAATATGACTTCACCGCTGAAACAATCAAAATGTCAACTTTTCTTCGATTAACAATAATAACAATTACGCGTCTAGTTGAGCTGCACTTTGATCAATCAATGTTGATGACCAAATTTCATGACATTATGATAAAATCATGCGTGTAAATGCATTACGATCAATTTGTTTTATGATCAATATTTTCGAAAGCTATTGAGTTTTAACAAAAAATTTTCTAGAAGAAAAGCGTCTTATAATTGTACAACATGTTCCAAATTTTGTTTCTGAATTTTTCATGATAAATTAGTCATTTTTTCATTGTTTTACAATTAATCCAAATTTATCTCCGGAAAATATCAATCTTCACGAGTTCTAAATCATTTAAATAATCAATAATAATTTTTAGTAAAAGAAAAGTTGTCAGGTCAGACAACAATTTCGAACAATGAGAATTTGTATTCGGCGGGTAATATTATTCAGTACATTATTGATCTATAGAAAAATTTAGAATGTATCGTAGGAATATTTAAGAATGTTGTATTGTAACAATATATCATACTCAGAGCTTTTTGATTCCACCAACAGATGGAATATTGTAAATCCTCAAGTATCAAAACAAAATTTTTGTAGAGGCATAAATACAAATAAGAACATGATGCAAAAAAAGGTTCAAAGAAATCGAAATCTGATGATTTAAAATGGGAGCAAATGATTTGAATAAAAATCGTTGTATTCAACTATTATATGAATGCAGAAATCGCGCTTACTTGAATACACTGAGCTTCCAAAAAACTAAATAATATCACCCAAGAAATGATACTCATATGCATTATTTAAGAATAATTTAACAAATTTAAAAATTACTCTGTAAGATCTTAATATTATACTATCATTTTTCTCGTGTTACTATAATTGTACCAAAAGACACGATATTATACACAGCACAATTTGCATATATACCTATGTATAAAATTACTCTCACACATCAACTCTGGGGCTTTCTTCCTAGCAAACATAGCGATTTTTGCTAATGATATAATAGATGAATTATTACGATATTTCTCTTCGTGAAGGTATTGAATCATATGATATAGGATTAATGCAACAGATCATCAATCGAATGAATTCGCGATCAAACTCTATCGAACTCAATAAATCAGAGCATAATTTTCTCCCATACATTTTATCGCGCCGAAAAACTGACGAAATTTCACGATCCTTACAGAAAAACCGGCGAATATCGCCTCTACGCGCCTGGCTGTGCGCCCACGCGTCCAACAGCCTGGAAAAGTTCGAGCAGCTCCGAGTGTCGGGCTACGAAGAGCCGCTGATCTTTCGCGCCGAGACGCCGATGCGCAAGATCGTCGCCTACATCGATCCGGAGAATCGTTTCGCCGTCGAGGACAAGCTGTCGCAGGTCAACACGCTGCAGCAGCTGCAAAACGTCGCCTCGTACGGATTTCTGAAGAAGCGCCTGGAGACGCACGATCTACACATACACGCGATCTGGTTCGACATCTACACGGGCGACATTTACTACTTCAGTCGGGCGCACAAGCGCTTCGTCGAGATAAACGAGCTCAACGAGACGCCCATTCTCAAAGAGATCAAAACTTACTACTCCTGAATAATTATATTGATGTATCTAGAGTTAAATATTGCTGCGAATCGCTGCATTTATAAGTTATTTTTTTATTTATTAGTGAAATACAAGGAATTAAATTCCGAACGATCTTTTGACGTCAAAATTATTTCTTCAACATGATCAGCTCCTCGTCGTCGATCTTGGCGTCTGTGGCCCACATGTACAGGCAGACGTAGTACTTGAGGTAGTCGTAGGTGAGTATGGTCTTGGCCAGATCGCGGCTCTCCTTGAAGTTCTCCGGATGGTGCTTCTTCACCGTGTGCAGATAGTCCTTCCAGCTGTACAGCTCCTTGCACATGACGCTCAGCCGGGACTTGATGAAGGACACGTTGGGCGCGTGCTGGGCCTTCTTGCTGCCGAAGTAGCGCTCGTTGTTCTCGCAAGTCATCTTCATCAGGTCGGCGAAGTTGTCGAAGGTCATGTTGCCGTAGAGCTCTTTGCCGGTCTCCCAGAGCTCCTCGAAGTCGTCGTAGAACTCGCTGATTTCGGCCTCGTCCTCGACCTGTGTATGGATTAATTTTTTTTTTCTTTTTTGTTCATTTTACAATTATAATTTCGAGTCAGTACCGGATCTCCGACATAGCGTTGCGGTCTCGAAAAATATTTGCTCGAGTATATCCGCTCGCGGGCTACCGTTACGTTATTAGACTAGGACCCACTTGACTCTGTTTCCATAAACAAGTCGTTCCCGAAAAAAAATAAGTCAATCGAGGCAGCTCTCGAGAGCAGCTCAAAATAATAAACGGTACATAGTACAAACAACAGCTAGGTCTACGCTCGAGAGCGTACACACGCATATTTGTACAAGAATCGGTGGCTACGTATGTAGTATGTACTTACCGATTCGGCGACGACGGGCTTCGGGACTACGTCTGTCGCCGCCCGATCGTCGCTATTAGCCACCGGATTAGCCGCTGCCAAATTGGCCAAGAGCAGCACCAGAGCAGCTGCGAACTGAAGGCTCATCGAGATGTTACGGGCCATGACGACTATGATGATGATGATCCTTCGCGCACGAAAATGCGACGACGACTGCCGTTTCGGAATTTTTCTTTTAATGTATCATCGCTGCTGCTGCTGCTGCTGCTGCTGCTGCTACTGCGTCGGGCAAACACAAAAAAGAAGAAGGAAGCCGAGGAATGACTTGGCCGATGACTTTGAAAAAATAAAAAATAAAAAATAAAGGTAAACCACACGGTCCGCAGCAGCAGTGTTTTATCACCCGTTATATAGAACGCACTCATCGTGTCATTGTATAATAGATCGCTGCGATCCAGGAATTATCCGCGCGCGCACACACACACACACACACATTTGCAGCCGCATGCACAGTATTTACAGTGGCTAAAATAATAGTAGCGCGCGGAGGATTGAATAACTTTATTGCGTCTCGCGGCTCTTAACGCGTGACGATCGCCGAATCACCGGCGAGGCGATTTTCGTCCGCGTTTTCAATTCGATTTATATTGTCAAATCGATTATAAATCGAATACGTCACTTTATCTCGTGGTGTACTTTCCTCATCGGCAGCACACGAGCGCGAGAGCATTGTGCAAAAATGTCGCGAGCTCGCTTGGCGTGTCAAATTTTTCTTTCTCTCTTTATTTCTTTTTTTCCTTTCTTTTTCGTAAACACTTATTTCTACATCTCACTTTGCTTAGATTTAAAATACACTCTGTGGACTTTGCAGAGCATGGGCCGATCCATACGATTAGATTGAATGCTGCAGCTTTTCGTTGCAGGTACCGAGTTTTCCATTTTTTTCAACGCATTTAACGTTCGAATTCAACGAAATTAAATGTTGAGTTTATCACAGGTCAGGTGCGACGAATTAAAATGTTTAATTTGCTATAGGCCTTTCTCGGCGAATTCCGCGTGACATAGAATTATTTTTTAGCATTTTTTACTTCTTAGTGATAAACTCTAATTCATAGAAAAGTGATTATAGTTCGATAAGCAGATCGATAATGTAATTTCTTCAATAATAACATGTAATGCCATACTGTTTACATCGATTCGTCTGAATTTCGCGTTCTACGATTCGTAAATATTATTAAATCTGAATTAGTTAGTCAGATGTATTGTAACAGTTATAAATTTTACAGTTTTAAAGCTGTAGCCTGTACCCAAATCACACGCGATCTTTTTTAAGATTACGCTTGATTTTCACAGTATATCTATGAATTAAAACATGTCAAATCAATTTTATTTATCTTGCTCACTCGTGAATCAAACGGCTGCTCATCATTTATTTTAGTCAGGAATTATACATTCGAAAACCACAAATTTAAGTCGTTAGTTCGTTAGACGTATTTTCAATTCATTGAAATTTTCAATGCATTTGCTAAATCATGCTAATCTACCAGCAAACATTTCTAATGTAAGCTTAAGTCATCACAGACTCCTTTTGTTCAATTTTTTTAAATTTCACACACAAAATGATGTGCTTTAAATTCCAGATAATCAGAGTTTAATTGAACACACACAAACGTCAGATCGGTCAGTTCGTGGTTAACGCTACTTTTTGTGTGGTTCACTCCCAATGAAAACATAATTGAGAGCTCGAAATCCGGCCTGTCGAGGACTCGGTATATAATATACACTTGCCGCGTCGCGTCGTCAAATCTCGCAAGTCGCCGTGTTGGTATTCCCTATTGTAGTCAAGTGTGAAATTATATACTTATAGGCATGGAACAATGGGTCTCCCGACCGGGCTCTCGGTGTCGAAAAAGTGTCACGTCAGCTGACAGCTATCGGTGTCTGCTTACATAAAGCTTGACCGCAACTCAGCCGCACCCGAAAAATCAGTGCGGCACCGGGAGTGACTAATGAACTTTTTGCTCGACTTTCCGTGTCTCATCGGTTGTGGAGGAGGTGGCGCCTGTCGAATGACACGGAGCTCGGCATCGCGCGACCCACTACGCGATGGCTTACCCTTGCCCGCGCGCCGGCGCGCCATTATCGGTCGAAAGGGGCTGGAGAATTCGAATTTCTTCTTCTTTTTCTGATTTTAAATAAAACTGGTTTCATATAAGACGACGAAGATACGGCGATACGACGATGATAGCGCCTCGCGGCATGCGCGCGCGGTGACAACAACGAGTGCTCGAGACCTTTCACTTTATACAGTGCTCCATGAAATTTCATTCGGTATAGACGTGCGGATAAGGTGTCAAAGAGGAAGAATGTCGTGCAGAAAATTCGCGCCGTGCCTCGTCTTGCTTCTTTTCGCGGCTTGCGTTACCTGCAATCCGGTGGTGAGTTGAAAATTTACGCATTTTTCTTACATGCTTTAACGGATGTTCCGTGTCGATACATGCCCATGTGTATGCTATATTGTACGTAGGAAGTTCAAAAGGCAAACGAGGCGCCAGAGGAAGTGGAGCAGGAGCTCGTCGACAACCAAATTCAGCAGCAGCAGCACGCGCAGCTCACGGAAAAGGAATGGACCGAAGTCTTTGAATTTTACAACGACACCTTGTCGGCTCTGCGCGGACTCAAAGACGTCTGGACCAAGCCCTTCGACGAACTGTTCGATCATCTGCGTCAGAACAACACGAACGTGAGGCTGCTTAAGCAGGAGCAGGTGGCCGAGCTAGAGCGCGACTTTGGCGAGAAGGCGCGCGACGCCTTGGAGCGCATCGACGACGAGCTGCGCGAGTTTCAGGAGATCTACGAGAAGTCGCGGGAGATGATGCGGGCCAACGAGACCAGCCACTACGACAGATACGTCTTCGGCATGGCCTGGGTGCTGAGCGAGGAGCTGGCCGCCTACCAGCTGATGGTCGGCAACGTGCTCAGAGAGGCCGAGAACGTCGCCGAGCTCATGATCGAGCAGCAGAGCAGCACCGATCGGCCGACCACTATCAGTCCGTACGCCGTGTCGGTCGAGTATAACGAGACGGTTGCGATGACCACGATGACGACGACGATGGACGAGGACGAGGACGACGATATGAATGACATGAATGAATAATATATTAACCAGAAAAATAAATACGCTTGTTGTACATACATAACATAAACAAAACGAATCGGAAGTAATTTATTCCTCGACATACCCCCCATAAATCCCGAAAAAAAACAACAGATAAAAAGGCACGCCGTATGCGAGTGCATGCCTCATCGAAGGAACCGTGTGAGTTTTATAAAGTCAAGTTCAAGTCCGACACAATGGCTGTATAGCGCGCCGCGTCGCTGCGTGTGCGGCAATAATACAACAACTGTGTGTGTGAAGATCACGTATATATATGTAGGTGTATGTACGTGTTTTTTCCTCTCTCTCTCTCTCTCTCTCTCTACCTTCGGTATCTCTGTATAGTGTATAAGAGACCGAGACCTACAGGCAGCTGTGGTATATGTACAAGTACGACGAAGACAAGCCTCTCTGCTGCTGCTGCGAGCTTTACTACTTGCCGAGCGCTGAGCAGACTGCGAGCGAGCGCCGCGTGCCACTAACCCGATAACACACTTGCGCACACGTGTGCAAAAATCATCGTGTGTGCGTGAGTTTTAACGTGTATACGTGAACAAGCATCTTTGTGTATGTATGTATATACGACCACGTCCTAAGAAGGAACAGAAAGAGAACGTGACTGCCGCGAGAGCGAAGGAAGAAACGAGGAGGAGGAGGAGGGATATCGCGCGAGCTCCCATGCCTTCATACATACATACATATCCATACCGATGATAAATGTCGAATGAATTATCGCGGATGTGCGTGCCATAACTTTAACGACGATGATCCGGCGAAATTTTGAATTTTTGAATTTTTCATCAGCGCCGCCGCCGGAGCAATTCGCCTTAATTGACTCGCTTCGATCTATATCGTCCCGCGTACATGAATATAATATACGCCCGAAAAGTAACAGAAACGAGGCACACTTTTTTTTAGCGCGATCTCGATTATCTCGACGACCCGTGTGCCGTGCGCCACCGAGTCTCATTTGTATATCGTATGAAATTAAAATTATATCGAGCCCGCGTACATAAAGTGATTTTATTCCCCAAAAGTGTACCGTCGTGGAACGGAGCTCTCTGCGCCTCTGCGCAGGTTCGCGAGCGCAAAACTCGTAAAAATCTCGGAACGAAAGCTCTATTACGCTTATATCGGGCTCTTCTGGGCTGGCTGCGCTCCAGCGGTCGGCTGAATGGAGAGGTTGAATTTTCGGTTTTGCGCTACTTACCATTCGTGGCAAGAAAAAGCAAGAGTTCGGTATAATGGGCCTAGCTAAGCGGGGATAGTATAAGGAAGCCTGTGTATACAGGTAGGAGGTTCTGTGTAGATTGAGTTGGATACTATACAACTCATTTTAAAGGCAGCTATATTTAGATACGTAAAAGTTCGATATGTATGATTATTTTCGCTTGAAAATTTGAGAAAAAATCGTAGATCTCATTTAAGCCTTATTGCCGAAAAGTATAAACATGTAATTTTCCAACAAATTTTTGAATTTTTTTAGACAGAACAGCTAAGATTTGAGTGCGCAAAAATAATGTGCACGAGTCGTATGCGAGCTTGAAAAAAACTGTAGCTCAGTAAGAGATGCACAAAAACAAGCACATAGGCATCCCATGAAGCAAAATTGACCAGGGAAAGTAAGCGCTTCCAAAGCTTAGCCCGGTAGACGAAATGAAAAAATGTATATATTAGACTGGAAGCAAAAAAAAAAATTTTTTTTATTTCGCCCGGACCAACCGGAAAAGTGATCTATGTACAAAAAAAATAGTCTGTGCAAAATTTTAGCTCATATAAATTGAGATAACCCGTGCCGCCAGTCGCTTGAAGGTTTTTAAATTCGATTTAAATTAATTTCTACCGCTTCTTTACAGCGATATTCAATTGGCTCTGTAGCCGTCAATTTTCAAGCAAAAAAAACTTCGAACCCGTCAAATTAAAGGTCTTGAAAAGACCTTTAATTTGCTTTTTTCAAAATTTTGATTGCTTCAAAATTAACTGCTGTAGAGCCGTTTGAATATTGCTAAAAAATAGAAAAAAATCGAAATTTTTCTAGTTTTCTAATAGCTGAAGTTCACTCGGAGAAACACCAATTTTTCCTAAACTCCGGGGTATTCTTTCGTGTGTAATAAGCTAAAAAAATACGTTAGTTTCGACCAGAATATTGCATCCTAGCTCCGTATAGCGGCATTTTAAAAATTCAATTTTTTCGTATTTTTTTTTCTTTCATCCGTCTAATGATTACACGCTTTTTATTATGAGAACATTCACAAAATACTGAAACATTTTCCAAATACTACTGATGATTAAAAGCATCTCAAGACCTATCTTTTAAGCCCCCTAACGAGCTTATAGGTGTCTCGGAGTTAAATCTACAGCCAAATTAAGAATATAATCATTAACGAAGTTGAAAAATAGAATCGCGATTTCAAGCTTAACTATACTAAAGTGTCCTTTAATCCCCAAAAAAATTTGAAAACAACATTTTCGACGTATTTTTCGACGAGAAAACCAATGGTGACCTTGGATTTGACCTTGAACATAACCTCTAAGCTACAGCGAACCAAAATTGATTTTTCGTTTGGTGACCCCCATTTTTTATTGCAGATTTGAAAAGAGCGGAAAATTTTACGTTCAAATACATCTTTGGTTTTTTTTTTAGGTTATGGAAGTATATCTTCATGGTCACTTAAGGGCGATGTTGTAAGCTAAAAGACCTTACATAACCTAGAATAATCTCACATAAGGAATGGAATAAAATGACCCGAAATAAAACTAAAGATGTATTTGAACGTAAAATTTTCCGCTCTTTTCAAATCTGCAATAAAAAATGGGGGTCACCAAACGAAAAATCAATTTTGGTTCGCTGTAGCTTAGAGGTTATGTTCAAGGTCAAATCCAAGGTCACCATTGGTTTTCTCGTCGAAAAATACGTCGAAAATGTTGTTTTCAAATTTTTTTGGGGATTAAAGGACACTTTAGTATAGTTAAGCTTGAAATCGCGATTCTATTTTTCAACTTCGTTAATGATTATATTCTTAATTTGGCTGTAGATTTAACTCCGAGACACCTATAAGCTCGTTAGGGGGCTTAAAAGATAGGTCTTGAGATGCTTTTAATCATCAGTAGTATTTGGAAAATGTTTCAGTATTTTGTGAATGTTCTCATAATAAAAAGCGTGTAATCATTAGACGGATGAAAGAAAAAAAAATACGAAAAAATTGAATATTTAAAATGCCGCTATACGGAGCTAGGATGCAATATTCTGGTCGAAACTTACGTCATTTTTTAGCTTATTACACACGAAAGAATACCCCGGAGTTTAGGAAAAATTGGTGTTTCTCCGAGTGAACTTCAGCTATTAGAAAACTAGAAAAATTTCGATTTTTTTCTATTTTTTAGCAATATTCAAACGGCTCTACAGCAGTTAATTTTGAAGCAATCAAAATTTTGAAAAAAGCAAATTAAAGGTCTTTTCAAGACCTGATTATTTTAAGATTATCAATGCGAGAAAAAAGTGTAGAAAAAGTGTATCTCCGAATCTATTCCTACACTTTTCCTACACTTTTCCTTCATTTTTTTTTCTACGCGGGAATTGATACGAAGAGATGATGACCACTGACCACTATCAGCAACGATATCGGTTCAACATCTTCATCATGCAGCGGTATTTGAAAACGGCCGAAAAATCGCAAAAATTCATAGAACAATCGAATTAGTTCTTTAAAAAAGACTTAATTCGAAACGATAATATTATATTGATACTTTATGCAACGAAAAAAAGCACATCCTCCTCATAAGTTGCATGGAAAGTTTTATAGCATAAAAGCTTAAAAGCTGCGATTTTTAACAAAAATTGTACAAAAAACAGGTATATTTTAGTGAATTTGACTTGTCTGCCGTAGCTTAGTTGACCCATATTAGGTAAAGTCGATATTTTGATAATGACATAATCTTGCTAAAAATTATTCTAACTCAAACACAAATTTAAATTTAAACCCCCCCCCCCCCTCCTCCACCTCCCTCCTTCATTACTCGCCAGGCTCGCAAAGGCAAATTTTTTGTGAATTCAATTTACTCTCGAACCTCTTGAATTGCAATCATTATTGCAAAAATATTGACAAAAAAATTAATAAAAAACAAGATGCTATTTTCAATTCCTCGTACAATTAAACAAATTGTTCAAGCATACAAAATTTAGAGTCTACCCCAATATTTACTTTTTAGATCAGACGCCGAGGTTGTTTATAAACGCTTTTAATTCCTCGCTCGTATACGATTAATACGGTGATGTATATCACCTAACGCACATTCATAGACGTACGCTGACATTTTAATTTGAATAACAAAATAACTTTCACTTTACTCTTGCTCTTTTTCTTCTTTAATCGGGCTATTATTAAATTAATTTAGACATCAAGATTCACGTATATAAAATATAAATGAATTTACAGCTGTACAGAGATTACATTTTTTAAATGATCGATCACTACAGTTTCGCGGTGAACTAAGAAGGTGCATGGAAAAATGCGTTTGGAATTTTCTATAGCCATCTAATTAGGAAAACGTATTAATTTTTTCCCATCAATAGTGTAAAGTAGTTTAAACGGTAAATTTGGACATGGATTTTGTTTTATAATTCCTAGTCGAATTTTTCTAAGAATTTCAAAATTTTTTGTCCCAGCTCTTTTGGTTCTATAATTTTTTTTCAGAAAAACGATCATTTTGTAAACTTCTTACCTTCAAAAACTGTTTTAAAGTGAGATAAAACACCTGGAATCAAACTGGACACTTAATTTCCTTAGGTTAAAAAGGTATAAAATTTGAAAATTGAGGAGCAAAAAAGCTTATGGTGGTCCACTAGCTCGTAGATCAAGAAATCGAAATGGTTAACTGGAAAATTGTTTTCCATGCCACGGCCGATCGGACAAACTCAAACCCGATCAAGCTCGAGCCATAGATACACGTCCATCGGGCCCTCTGCGATGTTAAAGTCTCGTCCTGTTTCTCAAGTGGGTCAGTTCGTCGCGTTAATACACGCACACATACACGCTTATACAATGCAACATGCG